AAAATACCTGTGTGCTCCATGTGGGTCCTAAACTGGAAATAAAGCGCCATGTGGGCTTGCTTGCCCTCATCCTCACCATGTTTGTGGAGTTTTTGTATGGTTTTTTGGGTTTTTTTTTCCTTGTGTGTTTTTTTCCACATTTTTGAAACTGTCATTGTGTCCAGAAGTCTTATCTCCAAAGTGAGTTCAGGGTTTGTGGGCTAACAGGTTACTTTAGTCAATGATGCCTATACAACTGTGGTGTTAATGAAAAACATTTTGAAATTATGGTGAATTTATTCGAGCAATAATGTTACCCACCTGAGATATTTGTGCTTGAAAGACATCACTACAGACAGAAAGAAAAGTGTGAACTGGCTGCTTAGGCTGATGTTTTCATTCTTTTGTCCTTGGATGTTAGAAGTAAATGCATGTGAGCATTGAGCTGTATAAAATTGAGCACTATTTTATCATTTGAATCCGTACTTCACTTCCAATTAGCTTTCTCTCTGTGTTTATTTTGACTGACCTCTTCTTATTTGCATTAAAAGCTCATGAGTAATTTCCATTTCTGAGGACCTTTGCTGGTGTGCCTCTTGCTGTGGCCTTGCCAGGGTGATGCACTCACCGGGCTCCAGGCAGGAGCAGAGCCTGGCCAGGAGCTGCTGAGGAAATAACGGGGCTGCTCAGCAGAAAACACTCTGACTGAAGTGCAAGTTGTATTTGGTATTAAAGATCACCAGCCTGATGGTACATGAAATAGGGGAGGGATGAGAAGTGCTCTTTCTTCTAATCTTTCCCTTTGAAGTATTTGCGTGCCTAAAAATGATCATTTTGGAAAAAAAGCGTGTTTGAAAGCCAAAATGTACTAATGTGGTACTTTTCAAACCAAATTACTTGGTGTGCTTTTTGCAGAACATTGATGAAGTGTCTCTGACATAAGAGAGAATGCAATGGTTTTGAAAGACTCTGTTTCCTTTTTATCCTACAGGAATATTCTGGACGGATTCCCTGCTGCTGGCTCCTCATGCGGTGGCAGTCCTGGCTGAAGGAACCTTTATTCCCGTGGTGCTGGAGCCTTTGGTCAGTGCAGGTGGGGAATGATTGCCCAAACTGGCTCCTCCAGCTCCTGGGCATCCTCCTGCCCGTGCCCTGAGCTCACAGACGTGGCCAGGCCAGTGCTCCCCTGCCCTCCCTGGTGCCAGGAGCTGCTCCCTGCAGCTTCTCCTTTGTGTTATTCCCAGGCCCACAGAACAGACCTTGGTGTCACATTTAGAACGTTTGGATCCTTTCCACATAAACACTTCAAGAGCCTGTGAAATAAAATTTGCATGTGTTCTGAACAAACCAAAAAAGGGATATGCTGAACAAAAAATGGGGGAGCTGGCCAGTGGCATGGCTGGGCATCAGCCAGGGGGTGGGATTGCATTGGGCACCACTTGTTTGGTGCATTCTTTTATCATTATTATTGGTTTTCCTTCCTTTTCTGACCTATTAAACTAGAAAACCATTTCACCTTTTTCCCAATTTTGTGTTTGGCTGCTGCCAGGTTAAACCACAACACTAATTGGTGCTGTTGCTGAAAAGGCTCCTTCTTAACAACCCTGAAAGTGGTGTGGGACAAAATGCAGACCAGAAAGTTTCTTCTGGAGAAAAGATCAAAAAGTCAAACTTTTTTTATGAAACTCATTATTTTTTCTTCTGTTTTTTCCATTTTTTATATGATTTCACAGCCTGCTAATACAGCAAAGTTGGCTGCTACATGTCACATCACGCCAGCACTTCCAATCAGCTCCCATGCTGTAATCCCAGTAGTGTATTTCATTTTTATTTACTTTAAACCTTGTAGGCAGATGAACATTACTTTTTATTTTCAGCTCAGAAGAACTGTTGTACATTACCAAGAAATATTTTTATGCTGTGATTAATGCTGTTACTAGAAAGCAATGCTATTCCTGCCATGTCATACAGTCAGGTCAAACAAGAAACATAAACAATTAAATTTAAAAAAACTGTTTCAAATTACCTCAATCTTAATGTGGGAGGATTGTTTTTTGCCATTTTTATTTCAATGTCTTTTCTTTTACAAGGAATTTTGAAAATTAACTGGGTTTTAATTCCAACCAGAAAGACCCACTTTGGACTGAAATCAAATCTGGATAAACATCTCAGGAAAAGCTGAAACCTAAGCTCTGTGAGCCATCATAAAACTTTTTGCTGCAGCTTCTAATCAGGTGAGACTCTAACTAAAATTGATAAAAATCTTGCCTGTGGAGTTTTGGCCTTGAAAGTGAGCTGTAAACTAAAAAAATTAAGAAAAAAATATCAGGGAATCAATGCCAGAAAAACCCCAAGAAAATATTAATGATGTACGACAGTTCGTGTCTTAAGAGGTAATACAATGTTGAAGGGAATAAAAACTTTAATAGCATAATTTTACAGGAGTAGATGTTGAAATTCTGATGTTTTAGGGAATCAAGAAAATAACACTGTGGCATGAAGTGTTCAACCCACAGGGATATGTCTTTTAGGGATACTTTCAAGGATCAGTTGATGAGTTTCCACATTCTGGTGTCCTTTTAAAAGAGCTGCATGATCAGGGCGAAGTGTTTTGGGAACTGATGCAAGCCAAGCTATACTGCACCATAAATTACAATCAGTGGTAATATTTGCTTAGGATATTTATCTAATATTACATCCTGCAGCCCAGTATTCTCCTCTGTGCAAAAATACCCACTGTTCATTGATCAAGGAGTTCTTTGTGTCTTTTGCATCTTCTAAAGAAAGTTGTTTTAGGAATGTTTTGAAATCTGTCCATCATGTAGAGATGAGCTTCATGTGCAACCACTTGTTTCAACTACACCTATCAAAAAAGAGTTAAACCCTTCTTACCTGCTCTGGGACAGAAATGCTCTTCTAGAGTAGTTAATTCCAACAAGTGTCAACTGACAAATGATCTCATGAATCAGAGGGATCTATGGAGACATCAGTGTGGAAATTGCAAGAGGATTTATCAGTGATAAAAGTCTTCTTATTGTGCAATTCAGAGCTCCCCCTGGGAGTCTGGGAGGAGTTTAGGACTTGTGGAGTTAAACCCTCTGCTCTTCCCTTGCCCCCATGACTCACAGCAAGGCTCAGCCTCATCTCCCCAAGGCAGGGCTGCTCCAAAACACTTCAGGGTGACTTGGGATAAAAGAAGCCCAGTGAACTCCATTTTCAAACCACTGGAGGAAATTGGTCAATGCAGACTGCATCCCAAATGATTGTTTGTCTAATTTAAGTCTGAATTAAGGAAAGCATAGGTAAAGGTAAGTTATTAAAAAACAAGGAAGATAAAGCAAAAGGCAAAATATGCATCTGCAAAAGCTATTCCACTTGTGTGTATAAATCAGGAGACTGTGTGCTCAAGTGGAGAATTAGGCTGAGTTGCCTGCTGTCATGCATTTAAATTAAGCAGGATTCTAATAGCTTTTTTTAAATCTGGCCCTAAGTGTGTTTGGGTTTTTTTTGGTTTTTTTTTTTTCTTTTTTTTTTCTCCCAGGGAAGAGCTCACCTAATCAAAATAGTGCTTAGGAAGGAAGAGCAATTCAATACTGAACTTGAGTGAGGAGCTCTAGCTTTGATAAAGACTGCACTGCCCAGGGAAGATTTGTTGCTGTTGGTAAAAGCCTGAAGCCTCTTTGCAGCCAAGCTGGGAGCCGAGAGGAACCATCCCAAGTGCTAATGGGATGTGTGGTGTTTCTGTCCTTGGGACAGCTGCTGATGGAGGGGCTGCTCTCAGTTTTTGTGCTCTCTGCCTTCCCTTGTGTAGCTGTGCAGAGGTTTTGGTCCAGGTGAGCCCCTGGCTGCCAGCTCAGCAGTGCTCAGGCACAGGATCTCTCCCTGTCAATGCCTCACTGCTACACGGGGTTCTGTAGAATTCCTCTCCTTTGATCTTTTGAACCTTGTTCTAAAAGAGGCGGCAGAAATTTCCTAGAAAGTTTTGACCTAATTTCTTGTCCTGTGAAAAGAAAGGCTGGTGTTGAATCAGCTGCTTGGAGGCAGGGAAGGGAAGGGAAAAGCCTTTCCCCATCCCTGGAGCAGGAGGTCATGCTCCAAGCACAGCTCTGGGGCTCGGCTCTCTCATCTGCCCCTTTCCAGCAGTGCTTCTCTACCTCAACACATCATTTTGCCTCTTTGTCAAAACATCTTTCTCTAAACATGGGCTTTCTGTGTGAGTTGGACACACAGAGCATGGGCAAAGTATTTTTGGTACAATGCACCAGAGCCGTTTGCCTGTTATTGTTGTACCCTACAGACAGCTGAAAATCAGAGGGAGCACTGCACTTGTCCTGCAGAGATCAATTGCTAGCAGGGACTTTAAAAGTGAATTCAGTCTAATTGCTACATTTTTGAGCTTTACAGAATGGCTAATTTCACTTGACTATTGGGAAGTGAGGTTAGAGTTTTTAGTTCTGCAATTAGGAGACCTGTCTGCACTGTCTCTGGGAAGGATCTGGCTAAAAAGCAAGTCTGAAATTCTACCTGTATTCTCTTTGCCTACCCTTTTTTGTTCCTAGAATTTACTGTCTGTCTGCTGCAGCTGAAGAGGCAGAGGATGAAGGGAAGGCAGAGGTGCTGAGCCCATGCTGTCTGTGTGTTTGTGAGTGCCCCTGGGAGAGAAGCAGGAATCTGAAAGAGCTGCCCTGGACACTTTGGGTGGTGACTGAAGTGCTGGGCCAAGTGGGACATGGAGGGGAGGCAGAGAGTGGGGTGGGAGGCAGTCCTGGGAGTCACTGCAACTCTCCTAGAGGCCATGGGTGTTTTAGAAAGGGATGCAAGGTGTCCAGGTGTTCCTGATTCTGAGCAAATCAGCTCCTGAGCAATCTCCTTTGATTTACCCTGCAGCTATGTCTTGGGCTGAACTAATCTACTGCCCAACTGTATTGTCTACAGCACAGAGCACCAGCTGGTAAATCAAACCATTATTTCAACTTGCTTTTATTATTTTTCCTCTTTATTCCTGCTGCCTTTCCCAATGAAGAGCTGGGAATCTGTGGCCAGGTAAACAGCCCTCTGCACCTCTGCTGTGGAATGATCTCTTGGAGCCTGCATGTGTGATCAGCATCTTCAGCCTTTCTCAGCCTCCTGTGTGGCTATACCTATTTATACCCTGTTAGCAGCTTTACAGCCTTCACATGAAGAGTTCAAGGCCTGCTAATCTTGCATCATTTGTAGTCCTGTCTAAATTCTGATCTTTACAGCCGCTGCTCTAGAAATGAAAAGATTAATCAAATGCCAGAAGATTACTAGAGCTTCAAACCAGTCAAAATCTGACTGGGAAAACATGTTAATCACTTCTCACTTAACCTGAGCACATACTGCACCCTGTATTTCTCCTCCTGCTCTTGTCAGTGATGTTCTGTATAATGAGCACCTCTGGCTGACAGATGCAGAAGAAATTATAGTGCTTTTTGCCTTCTTTTTTTACCAGATATCTCTGTGTTGGTGCTCTAGATACTCTTCAGACATCCTGCTCCAGCCTACATACAGAAAAGGCAAGATCTCCACACCAAAATTCACAGGTAGAAATACAATTGCAGAGAATTATAGAACCATTTGTAGGGTTTACAAAGTATGGCAGAAAAGTAGTAAATAAGTCAGAGAGTAAGGATAAGCTACACTATTCAACAACTCATTTCTTGTATTTTAGTAATTTGAACATAAAGCTGTTTCAGCAATAAGCAAAATTTGTCTCAAGTGTTTTAGTATAAATGCATTTACTTTAACAGAAAAAAAAACTCCTTCACCTTTATTGCCATTTTGAGCATGTGAATAAAAAAAGCAGTACTTTTCAAATATCTGATTTTTTCAGCAGCACCCAGTGAATTAGTCCTGCTGCAGTTGACAGGATGGCTGCAAAACTGCCCAGATATAGTGCTGAACTCAGAGAAAATACTGGTAGGCCCTTTGGGCAGCAGAGCCACACCAGGGAAGGACAAAGAAACAGAAGTTTGAGGGGTTTTTGCTCTTCAGGAACTTGTGCATGTCCCAGAGTACCATAGAGCAGTCCATGCACAGTGCCTGACACTGATATCTGACTGTATCCCAATGTACACTCAATATACAGACGGATCCTCTCTTCTGAATTGTGTCTAAAGACACAATTGGCAGGAGGTTAAAGAGGAAAAGATATTTATTCTGCTGTTGTTTCCATCAGGTTAACTGCTGATACAATCAGTGTTGGTTTTTATTTTCTTTTTCCCCTTTTAAATTTATAGAATGACTCCATTCCCCAGCAAACCTTGTTGATTTGGTCTGGAAAGAGAGAAGTTCCCTTCACAAGCTCAGGTGACTTTAATGGGCTTCATTTTCTTCTTCACTTTTTGAGTGATTTTATAATGGGAGTTGTTCCCTCTTGTGGTCCTTTAAGACTATTGATGTTTCACTGCTGGGGTCCAGAGGAGTGTCTATAACTGTGGCTGCAGCTCCTGTAAAACCTGCAGGTTCATACTATGTGGTGGCTGGACTTGGGAAAATACTCATTTTGTGATGGGTCTGTGTCTAACACCTCTGGATACAATGGTGCTCAAAAATACTTGGGCTTACCATTATTATAAATAATAGGAATTTCTGTGATTGTGTTATCCAAGCAAGTGCAAGGAGCAACATTAGAATGTAGAAGACAGAAAAGTGATGAACAGAAAACCATTTTATTATAATGAAAATAATTTCTTGTGCTGCTTTTTTCTACTGCAATAAGGGCAGGACTGTGTATGCATAAATCACAGCCTTATAAGTATAAAGTAAGGGTATGAAGAAAACCTAAAAGCAGACTTTTTGGAAAAGAGTCTGTAGGATGGGAAAAATATTCATTGACTTACAGGAAACAATAAAGTGTCCCAAAGAAAATATAGGATCCAATTGATTTTATGTGCCACCATTTGCAATCTATAAATACCCCCGTGGCAAACTCAGAAGATCTCAGTTTATTTGTGACTGGGAAATGGAGACCAAAAGCAGCCTCATATATAAATACAATGGATTTCACAGCCCCAGGATTTATTGTGTCTCCTTCAGCAATGGGGGTTGCACACTGAAACAAAGCTGAGCCATAATGGGAAAACTGTCCTGCTTGGGATTTATGAATTTATACAGGATATAGCCAGTTTTGCTGTGTGATTCAGCAGTAAATCACTGCCTGTGGGTGCCAGAGCTTGCCTCAAGTGGGAAGGTGCTCATGGAAGGACACAGCACAATTCCCAAGCAGTCCCTGGCACCAAAAGGGAATAAAGGGAAGAAGGGTGAGCAGAGAACCTGCCCCAAATCCAAAGTGCTCACTGAAGCACAGAGTAGCCAGCACTGGAAAGATAAAACTTCACAGACAATCTTTGGAGAGTTTTTAAATTAGGTTATATTTTCTGTCAGGCTTGTATTTAACTTTGTTTGCCTCACCCTTTCCTCCCCTTTTGCTCACTGTCTGCCTGTGGGTAGATTAGGACAGGGCACAGCTCCATGCATGTTTTATTTACCTGGAAATTTAGGCTTCCATTGCTTTATCTCTGTGTTATGTGACATACAGTGTTTGATGATGTGCTGCAGCACCTGTGAATGGTTTTCCTTTTCATAATTGCAGCTGATGTATTCAATTTTCTAAGGGGGGTGGAATGTGTGATGTAAAGAGAGGTTTCCATCCCCGATCTGACTGTGGCAGGGAGGTTCTGCTCTCATCCTTGCAGAGGATGTGCATGTTGAGAGACAAGTTTGTGAACAGCAGGCACAGTGCTGTGCTGAGGCTCAGATGGGATCAGATTGTGTATCAGACTTCAAATGGGGCATAATCAGACATTTCAGGCTGCTGCTCATGCTCCTGGAGGATTGGCCTGATTTTCAAATGTACCAGGCAATCAACTGCCCCTCACTGATTTCAGTGGGAAGTAGTCAGCCCTCGATGCATCAGAAAAATTGGGCTGGTTACCTAGAAACCTGCATATGGTTTTCAAATCTTTACTCTGGGGTTGTTTTGTTTTGGTAGTTTGTTTTAATTGCTGGAACTAGCCTCTGTTTTCCTCTCCTGCATATGCTTTTCATATGCTTTTGCCTACTCTGCAAATAGTGGCTTTTTTGGCACACTCAGCTCTGGAAATGCAGTTGATTAATATATTTTATCTTTTCTAGATCTGTCTTGGAGAAGATGTAAAAGTTGCATCTAAGAGGAGTTAAGGAGTTTGGTTTTGGTAATCAAAAGATGGCTTGCCCTCTCCTCTGTTTCTCCACATTTTCCAGTTAATTTTGCTGAACTGGGAATCTTGCTTTGGGTCTCAGCTGACAGAGACCCTCTGCCACTGACACAATTTATAATCACTGATGTACACAGGTGACAATTCCTTCTCCCCTTTTGGTACAATAGGTCCTCTGCATGTTGTGATTCAGCCAAATACCTGCTCTCCCTCTCATCCCAGGCAAAATGACCTGCAGGAAGAAAGAGGAGAGGGCAGGAACAATGATCTGTGAGCAAAAGCAGAGTTTCAGCAGAGGAAGGAAAAAGTCTCAGCTCTGACAGTCACCATCCCATAGGTGAAGGGCTCTATGCCTCTTGTCCACTGCCTCCTCCTCCATAAGAGCAAGACAAAAGGGTGCAAATTTTGCAGCAAATGAAGTGTAACTTGGATATTAGGGATGTTTCTTGCTTGTTGTGGGTTGAGAGAGTGCAAAGTGCTGGAGCAAGGTTGTGGAGGTTTTGGAGGAGCAGTTGAACAGGCAGATTTTGGAACCACAGGATGTTGTTTGAGCCATTACAGACTGAGGGAAGTTCCATCCAGGGAACTGCAGATGAGGGAGGTCCATAGGGATGCAGCTCCCATGGGAGGATGTGTGGGTGGTCCTGAGCAGAGCAGAGGCTGAGAAGTGCAGCTCTGGAAGCAGCTCCCTAGAGGATGGGTGGCAAAAGGGGGGGACCATTCCCTTGCAGGTGTGACTGGAGCTGTGATGACTCTCACAGCCAGGTGCTGCTTTCCTTCCATCTGGCACTGGGCATGTCTTGCTCCTTTGTCTGACCTGTGTCAAATAATCCACAGGCTGGAAGGAGAGGGAGCACCCAGGGCTGCTTGTCCTGCCTCTGCAATTAGGGGTCTTTGCCTAATCTCATGAGTCCTTTCCCAGCTCTCAGCACAGAAGCACCATCCACCAAGGCAGCACAGTGCCAGTGAAACTTTGGAAAACAGCTGGAGCTTGCAGGTATTTTCAAACCAAAGATCCAAAGAGAACCCTTATTCCCACAGTAGCTTGGTACATGTTTTTGTAATCAAAACAGTGGAACAGGCTCACAAACAGCCCTTCCTAAGTGCTTTGTGAGGGTCAGAGGTCCGGTCCCTGTTCTCTCAGTCTTACAGCTCTCCTCAGCTCTTACCAGGGACTGGGGCAAAGAGTGGTTTTTAGGTACAACTCCCTATTCCTTATTCCTTTAGCAGCTCCCTGTGCTGCCAGGCAGCAGCATGGGGCATGCCCAGGAGCAGAGCACAAAAGGTATCCCTGCCAGGTCCCATCTCCCCAGGGCACCTCAGCTGCTTCCAAACCTCTGTGCAGAGCCCTGAGCAGAGGTTTTGTGCAGCCATTGTGACAGTAATGCTGTGAGAGATGCTGCTGATACCAGTCTGAGACAGGAAACATGTAAGGAATTAGAAACAGACTCCCCTGAAAGAAGCAAGACAACAGGATATATTACAATATCAAAATGTGCTTGACAGGTGGAATTTATATATCACAGAGTGAAAGAAGCTGTTTGGTGAGTGATACATTTCATATTAAAATATATAAATCATTCACTTGGAGAAGAATTGGACTCTGTGGGCAAGCAGCTTAGTTGCTGCATCTGACATGCTGCCTGTTAAAACAGATATATTCATTTATGAATCTGATAATCATGACCTACTTTTTGTATTTATTCCATGGTAAAATTCAGAGTTAGGTGCATCAGTCACAGCATCTGACAATATTCTGTGTCTGTTACTGGCTTGATTATGTTATTCCAGTGTTGCAGGATAGTTAATAGTCCCTAGTTAATCAGAATATCTATTGATTAATATATATTCCCATTAAGGTAAATATAAATCATAATAAATTAGATAATATAACCATAATAAACCTGCTGTATCCAGTATGTAACACACTAAATCAAAATTAGCAATTACTAATTGAAATTATATCCCCTAGTATAGCATTATATAAATCAAAGGCATTTCTCTAAAATCCATGCATCATTCAGAACATTAATCCTCTGGCAACTGTAAATGTTTTTCTACTCCATTCATTTGGCTGAGCAGGGTAATGGTAATAGCCTTGAGGTTAAGTACACAGCACTGTGTTAGAGCTGGCTGTAGCCACAGGTGCCCCTCTTGCCCATCCCAATACACCCATGGCATGCCCAGGGCACTTCACCCACCACCAGCTTCCAGGGCTGAGGGGAAATTGTCTCTGCAACGTGCTTGGAAGGTTTCTACCCTGTGGAAGGATCCTTTTGGGACACAGGGCACAAAAACAAAGTGCTCACCTGGAAGAAACATGGAGGATTGGGTGATCCCAAACCCACCAGGATTTGCCTCTTCCTTATTTCCTGCTTGAAAGACTTGAGAGGGGTGTTTTGAATTTCATCTCCACCAATCCAGGGAGTGGAAGGGAGCGCCAAGAGGAGCTGCTGTGCCCTGAGAGGGCAGGGCAGGCACTGAACAGCTCTGCATTGAGCCAACAGCCTGGCGTGGACAGGCCTGAGTGGGGGGTGCTGCCAGGGTCCCCAGACGGGATCTGGAGAGAAATACCCTTTATGAATGATTTTGGAGTGCATTTCTGTAGGGATCTCCCCTGCCCTGTGAACAAGGGTCAGGAGAAGCTCCACCCTGCAGCCCAAGCTGTGGGGGAAACTCTGATGGCTCTGGGGTGAGCACGGGGTGAGGAGATGCAGGTGAGAGAGCCCGAGCTCCCTTCACGTGCAGCAGCCTCACAAAATGTCCTCACCACGCTCAGAAACCCGACTGGAGGTTACACAAACCTCTCCTGCTTACTTTGCATTTTCAAAGCAGAGGTCTGGGCACCAGTCCAAGCCCATAATCCATGTGAGGGCATGTCACAACAAATAGGAAAGGGATAATTAGAATTTTATGAAGTGGCTCTCTATAATGCTACCTACTGTTTACTTACCAACAATTTTAAATTTAGCAACTGATGCAATTTTAATACCAATTAAAAAAAAAAAAAAACCTCTAAGAAGCTCATGTTTGCTCATAGTTATGTGTGTTTTTAAAATAACCCCATTTCCCCAGTGGGACCAATGTGTGTGCACGTGTGTTTGTCTGCTCATAAAATGGTACTGAAAAGTATGAGAGCATAGGAATGTGGCTTAGCAGACAATAACTCTTGATTTCATTGTTTCAAGTCTTGTGTTTTTTCTAAAAGTCAAGGAAAGTCCATTTCACTGCAGAGAACAGAAGAGAATGAGCCATTCCTGGGCTTTCAGCAGTGTGGGAGAAGATCTTCATAAGAGGTAAATCTAAGAGCAGCACGAGATGGAATGATTCCTTCATTGTGTTTGATCACAGCTGTGTAACTTAGCTAGAGTGGTTTTCTTTTACCCCAGGCAGGACACTATTTCAGTGGTATCTCACACCACTACATGGTGTCCAGAGACAGTAATTTGACATATTGTTTGGGAAAAAAACAGTGCTTTAGCAAGGCAGTACGTTTTACATTATTGATTTGTTGTAGCTAATAGAGCTGCATGGATATCCTTATCCATGGGCAGATCTGAGAGTATTAATCTACTCACACAAAGATTTGTGCTAAAAGCCAACACAGAGAAAGTAGCTCAGCTCTGGAGCAATTTTTGATACCTGATCACCACTGAGGCTCCCAGTGCACAAACAGAGCCACAAGGCAGGGGCAGGGCAGCCTCTGGTGTGTCCTACCAGGAAATCACCACCTTCTTCCAGCCTTGACACAGCTGGACCTGGGCACTGCTCTCTGCTTCTGACAGCACTTGCAGGGCCTTGGTTTGAGGAGGAAGACAGGGAAATCCTGTGTCAGACAGAAGGGCTGTAAATCATGGGCTAAATTATCCCTGAGCATAACCGGGCAGGGATATGGAACAATTCAGCCTGTCTGATTCAGCTTCAGGGATTTAAATCCAGTTCTCCTACCTGTGAGACCACTGCCCTGCAAAGTGTTTGCCCTGCTCTCAGAAAAAATTTCTCTGTGCTTTCTCCCTCCCTTGGCAGGAGTGTGGACAGCTCTGCATCACCTGTGTGGGCATCTCTGGTGCGCCAGAGTTAAGGCTGGGTGGTTTAAGGAGTTGAATTGTGCTAAAGGTAACCCCATCAGACATCATCAAGGTCCAGTCTGTTCATGTGAAAAGCCACACATTCAAACACTGGGTTAGTGCAGGATCTGACAGCATTGCTTCACAGTGCTCATGCTTAATATGTGTAATAGGTTCTCACTCTGTGGACAGGGTGAATGGTGAAATGGATTCAGGTCTTTTTATTTTCTTTTTAGCTTGTGATTATCTAGAGGGAAAAAACACTAATTACTAGAAGCTAATAGCTAGTGTGTTACTTATCCTCTTAATTAGTACCCTAATTATTAAGTGTGGTGATAACCACCAGTTAGAACATATTTGCTTTTTAAGACTTTGTTTATCTGTCTTCCCACTCCCTCTTTTTAATGACACTGATACCAGCAGAGTTGCTGGAAAGGGAATGCCAGTGATTTCCCCTTGGGAAGTGAGTCATTTTGAGTCTCCTGAACACTGTTATGATTTTCATTCTGTTGTAAAATGCTTTTCACCTTTGAACTGCTGGCTCGTGTTAGATTCTGATATTAAAGTGCTAACATTCAGAGCTGTGAGGATGAACTCAGGGCAGCAGGAAAGGTCACCCCAGCAGCACAGGAGCTCACTCAGCTTCAGCCCTGTGGGAGGCTGGAAGGAACAACACAATCCTCAGCTGCCCATCCCAAATTTCCTGGGGTGTTCAGTGAAGGATTGCCCATTGCACCTGTCTGAAGTCATGGTGTCAGGCTGGGATGGGGGTCCACCGACCATGTCCTGCTCTCTATCCTCTGGAGTGGGAGGATGGAATTTCTGGGTGCTGCCACCCCCTGTGTCTGCTCTGAGCCCAGCACCCACAGCCACAGCAGGTGTCTGTTCCAAGTTCATCCTTGCTCAAGTGAAATGCCAGGCAACTACGTGTGAACTCTTAATAAAAGAGTTGTTTAAGTAGAGAATTAAGTGCAAATATGTGCCAAAAATCCTGTATTGAGGTGATTGGTATAGATGGGCCACTGCCAGAAGTTGTAATAATACAGCATTTTTATGGAGTCTTATTAATTTTTCCAGGGAGTGGCACATTGGAAGTGACTGAAGCCAGTGATTTAAGATGTGTGGCAGAAGGGAAGAAAGATCTCTTGATTACTGAACACAGTGTATGGCTGAGCATGGGCTGGAGGTGCTGCAGCACACCAGAAAGGTGCTCTCCTAGCTGTAAAATCCAATGGAAGGAGCAAGACATCCCTGCTCCTTCTGCCCTTGATTCTTGGCAGCTGGGATTACAGAGTGCTGAAGGGATGTGGATTAGCTGTGTTAGCTGTATGTGCAGGCACTGCTCCTGTGGCCTCATTAGCATTCACCACGCTCACACTGATTTGACATTGTTTCTGCCCCAAGGAGCCTGAAACCTAAAGGCAACACCCCGTGACCATCTGAAATCTGAACATTTCAAGGAAAGCTCTGAAGGAAGGATTCATGAGACTGAGAGCCAATACATTTCTGTTGCCTTGTCAGAAGCAGGGAGCAGGCAAGGAACAAACAACTGGAGCAGAGGAGAAGAGCAGTAAGAGAGTCCCAATTGCTGTCAGCTTGATTCCAGCCCTGTCCCCCCTGACAGAGCCTTTGTCACGGCAGGCTTTGCTGATTTACACTGATCCAAGTGAGAACATCTTCCATGCTTTTATCCAGCATTGCACAGCTTTTATCCAACATTGCACAGCTTTTATCCAGCTGTGCTGGAGTGGTTTAACCCCCTGCTCCTTTTGTCTTTAAGGGTGCACAGGGAGGAACAAGCTGCAGCACAGCCAGGCAGGATGGGCAGGGAGCTGCTGCTGCTTCTCCATGCAGGGACACACTTGGAAAAACTGCATGGGTTCCTCTGTGCTCCTGCACACCACCTGAAGCTGGCCCCTGGTTTTTCTGAGCAGGGATGACCTTCCATGAAAGCAGCTTTTCCTTTGGGCTGTTCTGAGCTACCCCGAGCACTTGGTTTGTGCTGGGAAGTACAGGTTGTCCATCACATGGACATTTTCTTGTTCCCTTCTGATTTTTAGCTGTAAGCTCTGTTATTGGCAGTAGAAAATTTTGGTTTCCTTGAGAGACACTCAGCCTGGGCTGAGTGGGGATTTCTTAGTGGAAAAAACATGATCAGCACTTTCTGATTCCAATTCTTGGCAGTACTGCAGGAGACAACAGGCTTCAAAAGCAGCTCCCTTTTCTGGGCTGGTTTATAAATGTCTCTGTAGCTGCATTCATAACATTGCATGTTCTCTTTTTTTCCCCTTTTTTTTTTTCAGCTTTCTTCTGCTGGAGCAGTGCTGCAGCAAGAGATGGAGAAGAAGAAAAGCTATTTGTCTTTAGGGTTTGCTCCTGCTGTCAGGGTTCCACCACTCAGAGGGGACCCAGCTCTCTGCGCACTGGTGTCACTTGAGGCTCACCAAGAGTCAGCAGAGTGTTTTGTAGGGTCACCACGTGTCCCAGTGCCAGGTAAATTCCATTTGTCCATCTTGCCTGGGAGGCTGGGCTGTCCTGGAGTCTCCCACACCTCTTTATTATGAATTCTTACAGACTTCTCCGCTCCTGCCTGCAGCAGTTAAGCTTTGGCTTTCAAATCTGGCTTTTTTGCATCCATGAAAGAGTTTCTGTGCAGTGATCAGAGGAGCTTTCAGCACAATTTATTTATTATCATGCTCTAATACAACACTTTCTTAAAACATTATGTACCCTGATAGGAAAATGTGTGATCACTTAAAATTGAAAGCTGCCTGTTGCTGTTAGAGCATTTTAAAAAATGTAATGATTACTGGGGTGGGGACTCACAGCACAGTGCTTTCTAATTTTGTGTTCATTTTATGCTTTTTTAGCACAAAAAATTGTGTGCAACTGTAAGATGTTGGCTCACACAGAATTAGATGTGCTAAGCTGCCACCTGATGTTTCCTGATGTTGCCACACTCCAGGCCTCTGTGTGACATCTGTCTCTGAGCCTTTCTTTTCACTGTCCTTATAAATGGGATCATTTATGGAATACCAGGGATAGAGACCCCTTCCAGGTGTGATCTGCTCAGAGTTGCCTCAGGTTTCATAATTATTCACAATAATGGCCCATGGACAGGAGATAGTTGCCGTGTGGAAATGCCAGGAAAGTAATTTCTGGAGTTGTGCTGCTCTGTGCATTCAGCATTGCCTGGGAAGGAGCCTCTATTGGCACAATTCCCTTTCACAGGGCTCTTGCCCTTACTGGCCAATGGCAGAAGTGAGTTCACAGATATTCTGTACTTTGCACTGGGTTTCTTTCCCTCTGCACCTTGCAAGGTGCAAGGAAATAAAATCATAAAATTGTTCCAGCAGCAGGAGTCCAGTGAATGGGTAATTGTCACACAATGTAAAGGTGTTTGAAAGAGTGGAGGAAAAAATAATCTAAATGTTCTCCTTTTACTGGGCAAATGTATTATTATTTATGAATAATTTTTGCTGTTGAAGGGAAGTGTAAGATACAATCAGAGAGACCATAAAAATGAAATGTATAAAGTGTTATTTACATTATATTGGAGAAGAAGGAATCACTGGCAGGAAAATGCTGGTTTATTTAAACACAAAATCAGGTTATTCAGAATTGCGTTCTTAGATTAACTGCTGTAGAAAACGCAGTCCAGAATGCTTCCTGCAGTAGAAATATGAATCCTCGTGAGCACTGCTGAGACTTTAAGTTTTGTTTGTATCTCCACACCATGGTGGTGTCTGGGGTTGGGGCTGTATTCTGCTGCAGCAGGAGCTGAGCAAGCCCAGAGCTGAGTGAGAGGCTCTGAGTTTTCTGGAAGGTTTGCTGTCCCTACAAAGGGTGAGAGAAGCAGTGAGAGCACAGCAGCCAGCCCTGGACACTGGGGAGCATCCACAGCCCAACCCTGGGGCAGGAGCTGGCACTGCCCTTCCTGCTGTTCTTAAAGAATAGACCCATTTTAACGAGGTTTGCTACTAATTGTCAGCATTCAAAGGTTCATCATCACACCAAGGCATGAAATTGTCCCTGTAGATCCTCTCTGGGCTGCCAAGCTTGTGCAAGTGGGGCTGTGTTTGGGGTGTTTCCTGCTCTGTTTATCCGTCCCTTCTGGTTACAGTGCTAGAAGCAAGATCTGGAGAGCTCCTTTGCATTTTGGAAGACAGAGATAGCACCAAAAGGAGAAAAACCCTCCATTTCTTAGTTCCCAAGATGCATTTGGAGACTGGTGTTGCTGGACTTTGTAGGCAAATGCCTCACCTGGTTTGTAGGACAGGTGATCTGTAAAGAAAGATTTTTGCCTTTGCTGTTTCTGTCTGTCAGTAGTGGAACATGAACAGACACAAAATGTCATAACCTCAGATTTTTGCACTTCTGTATTTTACCATAAAATTGACTGCTTTCTCAGATTGGAGAGATTGGACTGTGCTGAACAGATTAGGGGCAGCCCTTTACATCCATTAAAGAGATGAGCACTCAAAAAGGGGTTGTAGTGCTGGAAATTCTACCCACAAAAAGATAACTATGGCCTTGAAAAACATTTTCTCATCTCTTCCTGTTGACAGAAAACCAGCCCAAGCAATGTAAGCATATCAGATCCCTGCCAAGGGAAAAGCATTGCTTAAAATGAGCTCAAACCTGCTCTTTCCACTGGGAAAGGGAGCTCCTACAGAACTGCAGACTTTGGTGAAAAGCAGATTTCTGCTTTTCATGACAAATGACAGCTCCCAAGAAAAGGAAAAAGCCTTGGATTGGAAGTTTGGGTTTTGATAAAGATGCTGAAGTTTTGGTGAGAGCTGGAGGAAGTTTTAAGTTCTGACACAGCAGGACAGAAGCACAAGGAGCAATCAAGGACTGTGCAGAATGAGGAACTGCTTTAGAAACGTCCAAAATACTTGTTTCCCTTGACAATCTGCTGCTTCCTCAATCTCTACATTGATGTGTTCAGGGGGAAATTCCAGCTGCTGCTCTGGGCTGCCTGCACCCCCCTGTGTATGTGTGTGTGAGTGTAACCATGCCTGGGAGAAGAATAAAAGGAAAATAACTTTTGCTTTTCATTTTAAGAGCAGTTCCTCCTTCTGAACAGTGAAATAAAGGTGGTGCATGAAAGACAGTTCTGTGTCACAACCTTCTGAGCCACAGACAGGAGATGCTCAGACCCTCTGGATGCCCAATTTCCAATGTGAGGGTGAGTGTCACAGTCTGCAAATATCTTAAAGAAAGATCTGGAGAGATGAGGAATCCTGGATTTTATTCACTCGGGAAACAAGACTCCAAGGGGTCTGTATATAAGGCTGCCTATAATGAAAGAACTGCACAAAACAAATACAGCAGTACAACTCCTTTTTACCATTACAGCACCCCACACAGAACACAGACCTTGTGAATAATTGGCACGGTGATATATCCCCAAATTTATGGTATTGCACAAAGTTTTTCACTGGGAGAGTAAACACAGGGATGTGTTATCTGTCAGAGGTGAGAGGGGACAGGCAGGCTCAGAAGCTGGAGGTCTGGAACAGCCCCTCATGTGAGCAATGTCTGCAGCCCAGGGAGAAAATGAAGCACTGCCAAGTGTTTAACAATCATTCATTTTATTCCAGCATTACTCAGGGCCTGTAACTCAGTGAAATATTGTTTGGAAAGCCAATTGTTCAAATGGGTGTGGATATAAAACCAAAGAAAAGGCTGCCCTTGGAGGCAAGGCCATAGTCCTTAGTTTCAGTTAGAAGAAAATAAATAGTAACCATTACTCTGCAGCCTTTTGAGAGCTTTTTGTGGTCTTAAGTCCATGAATGACTGTGGGGGGAATACAGAAGGAAAAGGTAACCTGCTTAAGATAAAAACAAGCTCTAAGTGGTTTCTCTTCTAATTTTCTAATTTTGGCTCAAGACTCCTGCTGAGCCTAAAGTAAACACTGTGGTATTGGAAAAAACCAAATAGGTTGTTTGAGGGGTTTTTTTGCCCTTGTTATTTTTTACTTTGTCTTTTTTAGATTTTTCTGGGAGCATCTGCTAGTCCTTAGCTTTGAGCTGTGGGATTTCTTTTGCTTTTTTAAAGCTCATTCTTTCCAGAGTTTAAAAGGTTCTGGTTACTTCAGAGACAGAAGTCAGGCCTTGCTGTGTATTGTTCACAGAATGCATCCAGAACTCCTCAGGCTCAAAAGTTCCAGGACACCCCATAAAGTTCCTTGGAGGAGGTTGCTTGATGGCAGAATGCACAGGAATTAAAGGAGAAAAGGTCTGGGTGATTTGTATGGTTTGAAAAATGGTGTTGGCTTACAACCTCTGGACTTAGTAATGGAAAAAATCCTTTGAAAATCAAAACAGAACTTGGGAAATTCAATTTAAATCAGCCCGAGAAGCCATGAATTGAGTCATCATTACTGAAATGTGAGTCACCTGTTTGTCAAACATGCAAAAATATCTGGTCTATGTTAGAGCAGGGATTAACCAACATCAGATCTGAAAAACTGGCAGGTCCTATCAATACTTCCAGTAGCACAAGTGGAGATAAATACTTAAACTGAAACCTGAAAGGAGGAAGTTGAGGCTGCTCCTCATTTTCCCCATGGACCATTGCTTTACTGTATAACCCTTTTCACCACAATCAAGCTCTTCAAGTTTTCATTTTTTAACATTTAATCCACTTTGAAATTTTTCAAGATGGACTTCAAATTGAGTTTGGTTTTGGTATTCTGAGAGCAGCATGAGAAGTTCATATAATAATACTATTTGAAATTATTGCCAACTTTTTTACTTTGGAGGCTTTTTCAAAAATTCCAAATCGCTACTTAAAAGTGCAAATATTTACATTTATAGATGAAAATCTGGCTATAGTTTTTATTTTGCAGACCACATTTCAGAGCCAAGACATGAAAGAAATGGATTCCTGGGCTGCAGAGTCAGGTTGGTTTATTTCTTGCAAATAAATTTCTAACAGTGCATATTTACTGAGATCCTCAAAATTAGCCTTTCCTGGAAGGTTTGGAACATCAGCTGTCAGGCTGTGCTTTAGAAAGACAGTTGTGTGTTTTATTTACCCTCAGTCCAAGCAGATGCTGTGGGTGGGATCCCTGCCCATGGCAGAGGGATTGGAACTAGATGGTTTTTAAAACCCCTTCCAGTCCAAATCATTCTGTGATTCTGTTTTGAGCTCACAAAATGACAAACTTTTAATCTTTGTGATTATTTGTGGTCGTATAGTTAATTTGTCACTATTTCTATCCAATTAAGTACAAACATATATGCTGAGTGGAATTATAGGGAGGTTCCTTTGTCTTTAATTTTTGGTAACAATGGTGTGTGTGTGATAGCTCAGATTGGAGAGTGAGTATTTAGATGAGTAAGCAAATCTGTCCTCTTCCTTTTTCTAAAATTTCCACCCATCTGACCATTTTTATCTTGGAGAAAATGGGAAGAAAGAGAAACTGTCCCCACTGAGCTTTAAAGGCTGCTGGTGAAATAACCAGTCCCACTGAGCAGAGAGTTCTGCTCAGTGAGTGGGTACATGCAAAGGTTATGAACTTATGAAAGGAAAAAGCAAAGTCTTAAATTGGATTGCTGGCAGCAGCTCCTCATGTTTCACTTAAGCCACTTCGTTAAAATGACTTTCCTTTTTGTTTGCCAGGAAAAACAAGATGCTTTGTTTAAGTTCATCACCTGTAATAGTTTATGCTCTGTTTTCTGTGGCCTGGGCTCTGGGATGAGAGCATTGCTGTCTGGAAGTTGCCATCCTGCTCCTGTTTGTGTGCAGAGCACCCTGCCCTGGGCGCAGACTCTCTCTGGGCTTCCCTTTGTGCCCCCTCTGTGCTTGGCTATCTCAGCAGCCTCAGCAGAAATGCTTTTTTATCCTTTGCTTCTCAGTGTTAGGCACAACTGAGGTGTTTTTCTCTTGGGTCATGGATGAGGTGAGACTGAAAGCACCATCATGGGCTGTGCTGACCATGCCAGGTGCCCTGGTGCCTGTAGAGGTGTAGGTGAGGGTTTTGCACCTTTCCCTTGGCTGCAGTGGACAAAATGCCCAGAGTTATCACCTGCATGGGCTCATGTGTCCACAGAACACAAATTTTCTGCGCCCTGTTTGTCCCCTGCCTGAGGCTGGCTGCTCACTTCCATGGTGGACCCCAGGCTCTTTGGGATGCTTTTTCACAAGGATTTACTCCACACCAGAACAAGATCCTTTCCTTGTAGGCAGGTCAAACTCAGATGTTGCTAAAGATCTGGGACTTGTCCCACATTGTCACTAAATCATGGCTTTTCTGAGGAACAAAAGCATTTTTAACTCTGCTCCTGGTTTCCTTGGCCACATCTGGTTTGGCCTGGGTGCAGCCACGCTGGAGGTGCTGCTGTGGGTTCCTGCAGGGCTGTTCCTGGGGAAGCAGGGCCAGAGGCACCTCTCTGATCCCAAGGAACCCTCAGACCACAAGGGGGATCCTGCTGTTATGCATTAATCTCATTTCAGAGCAAAATAATTGAGAGGACAGAGTATGACAAGGAATGATGGAGGGTTAAAGAGCAACCCCTGTAAAAAGGGTATGAAAAACTTGAGGAAGGCACTTCAAAGTGCTCTCTTGGGCTAAGAAGCAGTCCAGCCTCATCCAGAAACTGTAAATAATATTGCCCCCAGGGTTCTGCTGCTCAAGCAATAATACAATAAAATCCTTTCTGCAGACCAGGGGCTGGATTTGGATGCTGGTGTTATTGCAATTTCCAGAAAGTTTAAAGTTTACGGACTGCAAAGACAGACAACTCAGCAGTTTGGGTTCTCCTGGTGCCTGCCCTGAGCCCCCCAAACCCAGGAGCTGGGACTGGGGGCCAGAGAAGCCCCAAGTGCTCCCCAGCTTACACAGGCGCAGATCCTTTATATGAAAAACACAACAAAACAAAACCCCCCAAAGCAAAACAAGTAAAGCTGCTGCTTTAAGGGCTCTTTCTTCAGTTTTTGCATCCACTAAATGACTGAAATGGGCTTTGTAGGCAGACACATGAGGCACAGTGTGGGTGAGGATTAAGCAAGCCCAGTTTAATCCCTACAAGGAGCAATCAAATGTGGAAACACCCTGTCCTTTCCCCCGGGGGACATTCAGTGAGCAGCAGTGTTCAGAGCAAGCTTTGTTGGTGGCTGGAGCCACCTCCTTGCTGGTTTCCTCATAGGGCAGGAGTTGATGCAACCCTGCCTATTAACTTTTTATTTTATGTTCTGTGTATTTTTATTATGAAAGGGAGTAGGGGAACCAGTGTGCTTGGCTAATCAGGTTTATTTATATCCAGCCCTGGTGTTGCCATTATGACTGGAACACACACAGTAAGTAAACATCAAACACAGTAAGAAACTGGGACCTTTTGCCTTTTTTTGAGAAAAATACGGGGTATTTAAGGCAAGTCAGTAAGGGACATGGTGAGCAAGTTTTATTTTAGACATGTCACTCTGTGCTACCTGGAAATTGAGAACATCTGTTCCAGGTATCTTTGAGCATTTGCAAATTATTGTCACCTGAAAGCTTTGACCCAAGTTTCACACAGAAGGCAAAGTGAGTAACAGTAACTAAGTGAAAATGAAAAATTAATTGTCTTTTTCTCCCTGGAGAAGAGATCCATTCTGCTGGAGCTGGATAACACTTGCAAGCTACAGAGCTCCTTTTCATTAGAGAAATGAAAGGCTCATCATCCCTAGAGCTCTTAATTAGGCACCTTTTGCCATTCACAAAAATCTGGGTCTCTGCTGCCAAGTCCTATTTGTTTTAAAAATTGATTCGTTCTCATCAGCTCCTTTGTTGGGCAGCAGAAATGGATAAACCAAATGAGTGCAAAGCCTTTGGAAAGTGTCAGAAGTTTAACACGATCAGCGTGGCCACGCCAAGCTCAGAGAACGAGTGTGCAACAATGCTTTGGTGCCAAAGGCTCACAGAGCAATAACAAAAACCATGTTCAAAGCAGACAGGGCTACAGAGGAGAGGGAAAAAAGTACATATGGAGCATCAGCTCCCTGCAGACCTATATGACACTCTTTCATTTCTGGGGGCCATTAATCCGCAGGAATTACAGATCAGTTGGGTAGGGAGGGTCAAAATGAAAGTGCTTGGGTTTAAAAATACTCAGGCTGAATGATTTTTAGTGCAGGTTTTCTGATGAGGAGTGGTTTAAACCTTTTGTTTAAAGGAGATGAAATTTCTTTTTCACCACCACCTGAAAAATAACGTCTCTTAGGTGTTGAATATAAATTTAAACTGAGATCAGCTGTGTTTGTAAGGCTTCCTTTGAAGCATTTCTCCACATGATAATATTCAATATCTGTTTACAAGGCTTTGATTTCATGCAGGAAACAACCGCTTTTGTACAAACATGTAAATGTATGTAAGAATGCAGGTATTTGCATATAAATGTGTCCTCTTCATTGTTTTCTTGTTTAAAAAATCTCAACCAACCTTGAGACAGGAACACAACAGTAACCATCACTCGTGGGACCTGCCTGACTGGAGCTCAGCAGTGAACCCAAGCAAAGCTGGTGCAAGTCCCACCATGCAGGAGGCTGAGCCCTCCAAGAGTGTGGCTGCTGCTTTCCAGGCTGAGCAGATTCTCCAGTTTCCTGCACTTTCAGGTTTGGATGATCTCTTCAAGAGGTAGGACTAAATATACAAAAAGTTTTTTTTGCAGAATTTGGTGTAAACCCTCCAGGTTTTTTTTCCAAACTTCTCTTTTAGGCTTAAAGCTACTATAAAATTGCTCTTTGCATGGTTAGAGAGGCAAATGGCCCATTGTTAAGCAGTGTAATGCATTTTGGAAGGTGGATACAGGGAAAGGTAAAAATTTATCTTGTGTGGAAGCTGTACATTCTGGGGAGAAAGAGTTTTAAATAAAAGCCAGCATGATTAGAGGAAAAGGGTAGATATAATTGATTGAAAGTCTTACAGGAGTAGTTTTCACACTGATTATCTGATTGTCTTTTCAGTACATACATCTTTCTCTCTAGAAGTGGTGCCAGTTTGAGTCACTGCTTCCTGTGTTTTGTGGCTGCACAGGTGAGCTGGGCTGGGAGAAAGCCCCAGAGAATTTCCTCACATGCACAGGAAGGATTACAGAGCCTGTGTTAGATGCATGATGAATCCTTGCAAGCTTCCTCAGCCAAATTGTGCCAGCACTGGTGTCTCAGCTGTCACTGTGGGGTTTTATCATCTTTTTTACTCAGCCAGTTAGAGAAGTTGTCAACAAAAGTATCAGTGTATTAGAAATAGTTTAAGAAATTATAAAAATGCTCACCTCCGGTATTTCTGTGCCCATTTGTTGTTGCTGCTGGTATTTACATGAGAATCAACACAAATACCTTTATTTAATTGAGTACAGTATAATTTGCTTTTTACTTCCTTCTTCTCCAAAGATAAGCACGTCTTACTCCTATTTTATTGATTGAAAGTTGAAATTTCCATAACCACGCAGAGAGTCTTGCTGACAGAGCAGTGTAAGCAAATTGTTTCAGAGGTGCTCCCTTCCCAGAGGATGGGATCGAAGAGGATTTATGGAAGAGCCTCACACAGAAAGGAGTTTTGCTCTTTCCCACATGTAGACAGTGCTTACCATGCCCAGTTCAGATTGCTGAGTGAGATCATGGCCATTGCCAACAAGGCAGGTGCAGCATTTCATGCACAAATTTTTTGCCCAAGGTTACAGAAGCCCCTGCAGTCTGTATTTGCTTACAAACATGAGGGATGATCCATGCACGTTCTCTGCATTTGCATTGGATTAGCTGCAATTTGCAGCACAAGTTCTTTTGGGTGATGACAGTGAAAGCATTAAACACCAGGGCCTGCTGGAGCTGTGCAAAACCCAACAGAGACACCCCTGTAGACTCTTGATTTACTTATTTGCACTGTAAGAATCAGCTTGGGTGTCCACCTGTGGAAATGCAGAGTGAAATTCTGCTCAGAAAAGCTGTTTCATCTGGTGGTATAGCAGGGCCAGGCATCCACTGGTGTCAGAATGAAAATGTGGCACATTGTGTTTAGCCAGACCTGATGAGATGAATTTTGAAAGTTGCTCAAGCTTGGAAAGCTTTACCTGATTTGGGAGGAGAATGAGCTGCAGAAATGTTCAGCAGCCCCTGCAGATCTCACTCGTGTTGAGCAACACAGGATTAACAAATCTTGGGCCTGGGAGGGGGAAATCATTGAGGGAGAATATGCAAAGCCTCTTGTTTGTATCTGGGCAGTGGACAGCTCCAGTAAACCACTGAGGAGCTGGCAAGAGAATGAAAATCTGCAGTTATTTCCTTTTCCAGCAGGTTTGTTTAACCCCTGACAGAATCACTCCAGTAAAGGGGAAGGATCTGGCCAAAGCTTCAGTCTTTGAATTTTAATCACTCTTTGAGCAGTTGGCTCAAAGCTGTATTTCAGTTGACAATAAATCATTATTTAGACCTGTTTTTACCTTTCCACCTGAAATTAGGACACTCAGGTTAACCCTACTGGTGACTGGGAGAGCCATGGTGAGGGCACACGTGAGCAGAATCTGAATTCCAGTTTTCCCTCCTGTGTGCAGCACTTCCAGAGCTCCAGCACTTGCAAGCAGTTGTATTAACACATCTGGAACTGCTCCTGTGGGGATCCATCCTTTTGGGGAGCCCTCTGCAGCTCGGGGGCTCAGCCAGCCACGAAACCAAGTGAAAGAGCAAATTCCTGGCAGGAGGGCACTGCCCCTCGTGCTGCTTTGCTGTGACAAACAGAGGAAGTGGTTACAAACCTCTGTCAAATCTTCCCATTTCACTCAGTTCCAGTAATTATTGGCAGGTCTAATTGCCACCAGATGGCTGTATTTTAGTGTAGGACAGCAGCAAAGACCCCAAAAGCTTCTGTGAATGTACATGTTTTACCTGGAACCTTGGGAAGGCAGAGAACAGCACTGATTGAAATCTCACAGAGATCACAGAATCAATTAGGCTGGAAAAGACCTCTGGGATCATTGAGTCCAACCTGTGACCCAACACCACCATCTCAACCAGACCAAATAATGATTTCTGAAACCAGGGGGAGTTGTGCTGACAGATAGCAGATATTTCCGCATTCTAAAACCAGACACAAATAAAATTGGCAGCACTCAACTAAATGGGAGCAGGAAGGAAAATGTGTTAGGGAAAGGAAAACAAATGCTCCATTTACCTAACAATAAAACTTTAGATATAAAAAAAGAAGCAACCTGACAGTGTGAAATACCTTTCAGTACTGCTTGCTCAGGGCAGCATAATAATGCCTGACTGAGTAATCTCAGCTGGGAGATGTGATGTGGTGGGAGATGCAGAGGATGTGTTTAATCACCCTTTTTTTGCTAAGTGAGTCAGATAAAAGACTATGTGAGAACCACAGTCAGAGGAAGGAAGTTATTGTCAGTCCTGGGCACTGAAACTGAATGAGTTTACATTTTTAAAGGTTTCATACATTACAGCCTTCTGGAAGATTCATTGATTCAGGGATCCTAAAACAACAGACAAACAGCCCAGTGTTAAAGGACAGTGTTGGCAAGGGATGTACAGTCAGACTGCAGCTGTGGGAATGTGGCCACAAGATATTGATTTTGTAAAGTCCTGAAATTATTTGGGCCCTCTACCATCTCCATTACTGCTTTTAAACAGTCTGAAAATGCCTGTGTTTGGAAGAAGCAATTCTGTGCCAAATTTCCCTGGCAAATCCCATCGCTCACTCTAAGAGAGGAGAAGTTGCTGAACTCACACATGCAGGGAAAGGCAGTGAATTACAGAGGTTTGCAGCCTCATGTGGAGAGAAAATTGCAGTATTCATAAAGGAGTAGCTGGAGGAAGTGTGTACAGATGCTTCAGAGACCTCTTGTGCAAACAGACACCACCTTAACTTGCAGATTTAGAAGCAGAATTAACTTTGTTCTTCAGCACTGCTTAACTGCTTCACTGCCATCACAGATGGTACTGGAACACCTTCTGGGCTGCCTTTTTGTAGAATTGAGTCGAATATTTTCCCCAAACGAATCTCCTCCAGCAGCTCTCATTGGATTTGGTGCCTGGCCCCTGGTAACTTCTTCTTTAACTTCCAGTCTCTGACAATTTACTGTTTTCTTAATATTTCACCTTGGACTTGTAGGGTAGTACCTGACAGACCTGAGTGTGTGCACTTGATTTTACACCTTTGTTTTTCAATTTAGACACAGCTGACTCTGGAAGGGATTTATTACAGCATGAAATACCTGATTCAGCAGGGGTAACATCACATGGTGCCATCCTCACTAGCAGAAGTTCCCTGAATTCATTTTGAAGTTTATAAAAGACATCAAGTATCAGAATGGTCACTTTTACATACCATGAAACAGTCAGGATTACTCAGGGAGCTTGCAACATGTTTGCTCTTTATTTAGTTCATGCAGAATTCATTACATTTCAGAAGGGAAATTTATTTTGTACTAGATAAATATACTTGACTCTATAGATTTTTAAATTTATAGTCTATTTTAAATCTATAGACTCTATTTTTTTAAAGTTCCTTTCTGTGTTAGGGATGTTCACATACCTACCACAGCCTTGGCAAACTAGCTTAGTCTTATTTCCCTGTCACCCAGGCCTTGTGGGCTATTAATAGATATTTTTATAACTATATATATTTTAAATAGATATTTTTTAGATATAAATATACATTTTTAAATAGGTTTTTTTTTTCTTCCTCTCTTCCCTTCCTTTCTTTTTTTCCTGTTTTTCATGTCTGTAATCACCTGACCCTTTGTCCTGGAGCTGAACGCCTGGCCTGTGCTTGCCTTGCAGAAAATGCCCTTTATCAGGTGCTGTGCCTGTGGAAGCCTCTGGAAGGGAGCACCCTGATGGGGCGATTCCCCAGCAGGGAGGTGCTGTCAGCAGGACCTCCAGTGCCAGGAGCAAAGCTCTGAAGAGCAGTGTAGGGAACACAGTATGGGTAAAGGAAGGTGGTACAGAATGGAATCTTATCCCCCAACAAGTTGCAGCTGGACCAATTACTAAAGATTAGGAACAGGCCTGATCCTAACAGGCCACACCTGTAGCCAATAAGAACAGTGGCATAAAATAGTGGATTGGTGGGATTTGGAGTCAGATGGCTGCTGCAAGGACCAGGAATAGTCAGTGCTTAGAGGAGCTGCCTGTGAGAAACATTGTGGAGGTATGAAACTCTGAGGGTATGGAATCCTTGCACTATAATGCTAATAGAACTCTTGATATATGAGATGACAGAGCAGGACCAGGCAGAGCCAGCTCTGGATGTGCTGCCTGGGAGGGCTTTCCAAAGGGCACAGCCTACTGGGAGCATTTCTGGGCTCTGTGTGGGGAGCTGCAGACAGGACCATGCACAATGTGCAGCCTGAGCTGGGGCTGGGGGGAGAAATGCTCTGAGGAGAATGGTGTCAAACTGTGGGGTGTGAAGCTGGTCACAGACCTACTGAGCAACACTGGCCATGTTCTCCTGGAGCTGCTGCCTAAGGAGGGACAGGACAAACCCTGCTGCTCGCCCCAGTTCCCATCCCATGGACCCTGGGCCTGTTCCTGCCATCTTCTCCCAGCAGCCTCAGCCACACAGGGCCTTGGGGCTGCCTCTGCTTGGTGCTTTTCACCCATCACCTCCTCCAGGTGCCCCACCAGTCTGTCCTCACTGAAAGAGCTGCTGTGGATGGGCTCTTCTGTGTGTGCAGGGTCCTCTGAAGCTCAGCAGTGCTGCTCCTGCAAGTACAGCAGGGTTGGGATTCCACCAAGCAGAGACTGCTGTAAGCAGGGTCTGAAGAGCAGCACAAGGAGGTGGAGGAGGTGAGTCAGATGTGCAGAAGGCTGAGTGTGCACTGTGGTTTTGTTGGTAAGAAAGCTTGTGGCACTCTGAATGCATCTTTCAGTTTTCTGAACGTGCTTTTGATTTGTACAAACTAAATCAAAGGGCTTCCTTCTCAGAAAGAAGAGGCAGCTGTGTTCAAGCTCTTCCCCTGACCTGAATTCCTGGTTGAAAAAGAAACCAGTTTCTTAGCTGAAAAGTAAGTGTCAAAGGATACTGCAATTAAATTATTTTTTATTTCCACCTATCAAAGAAAATTGAGAGGGATTAAGTGGATGAATGTATCAAGTAAACCTGCAGTGAAAACAATATACTCCCTTTCTACAACTGTAAACAATTACTGCCATGTGATTTGGAAACTGTCAATTAGCTCTGAGCACAGTGAATCAGAGCTGCTTTTGGTGTAATGAAAACAGAACATCTCCCCATCACATCAGTATAGATTGCATTAACCTTAATGACTCCTGGAAGGCTAAACCTTGTCTTGCCAGGCAGATTGAACACTGTGCCTTGTAAGCTTTGCCTTTAACTTATCTTTGTAGAACTCCCATTGATTCTACGCTAATTTAAACCTAGAAATACAGAAATTGTCAGGTCTGAGCAGACCACTGGTGCAACTAATTTGATTTTTTTGTTGCTAACTGCAGCCAGTGATGGATGGACTCAGGGAAAAGAAGAATGATTCATTCCCTGTCCCCTCCCCTTTTCTCTTTCCACTTGTACCCTTTCCCTAATTCGTTTAATTAAGTGTGGTGTGATTTCTTTACCCCCAGTTGATGACAAGTTTGTGTACTGAAATGGAAATATTAACAGATCTTGTGTCTTCAAACTCCTCAGTATTATTAGAGATATTATTCTTGCTAGTGTAAATGTCAAATCCCAGTTTGGAAATAATTTTTTCTGTTTCTCCTGTATTAAATGGATTATTCTAAGAAGTTTCCAAATCCATTGCCAGGAGCCTTCTCTTTTAAAATCATTGAATGCTTCCTTTCAGTGGGAGAAAATGTAAATAGGACCATGTTACCCCATGAGCTCCACCATCTGCCACATCTCCTGTTTCACTATTAATCCCTGGCTAAAGTTTACTTGGTGAATTGAGAGGAGTTCCTCTTAGATTTATCCCAGTGTAACAAAATCCAGCTCTCTTTCTTCCACTTACAGGGAATCTCTCTCTTCATGATGCACTTAAATAAAATTGCTGACTCTTCATGGGGAGAAAGACAAAAACTGATGTCTCAGCTAGAGTAATGTCCTTTTGGTCTAATGACTGGTATATATTGTTTACCTTCTCCAAAATATCTCCTAAGTTCCTATAATGAAGTGATTTTTCTATGGGCTGTTGCTCAGCACTTTAAAATTGGGCCCACAGGGGTTCCAAGCTCAGGATTTGAAAATGAAGGTACCAGAAGTTAATTACTTTGTGTACAAAAATAGGGTGTGATTTCAATTTCTGAGGTATGTGAGCTCTACTTAGCTCATGCCAAGCCAGGCTTTCTCTGAACTGAATCTCTAGCACACATCAGAACAACTCACCTATGAACACAGCAAAGCCACTGCTGCTGCCAACCTCATTGCTGCACAAATTATTTCCAAAGCTCTGTTGTGTGGTTCAGAGAATGTGTATTATCAGCTTTATTTGTTCCTCACATTAGGAAAAAAACCATCTGCTTATGAATTAGGAAAAAATCCAGGCATATTTGAATCCTGATGACAACAAATACCACTATCTGCTACAGTGCAGGCTAGGAGGCTGTACTTGAATTCGAGAGGGAAAAGAGTCCTTCAAGCTGGGAATTTAGCTGGAACTCTCTGAGTACAGCATTTTCCTGGCCAGGTGTGAAGATGAAGCATCTGCTGGCACCTTGCCACCCGGCTTTGCACACCCAGCTATGTTTGATGAGCAGCTCCACTGCAGGCAATGCACTATGATATTATTAAAATTCAAGTATAACTACTTTTCCTATCCTTATTCCTTGCATTGGTATGTGCAAAAGCTTCTCATACAAGTGGGAAGCTAAAAATAAGCAAGTAAGGATGAAGCAGTAAGGAGGTTAACTTGACAACTCCCAAATCAAACAGGGAAAATATTTAAAAGCTGAGCACCTTCAGTATTGTGACAGAGGGGGAAATATCACAAAGACCACATTTGTGGGAACCTGTGCAAGATTTTTATGGACTTTTAGAGCGTGTGGTAACTGCAGGACCTAGTGAATCTGAATAACAAGTGAATTTAGGGAAAAATGATAAAATACTGAAGGCTAAAATTGTTGGTAAAGCTTTCCTTACTGACAACTATCAAAAATAATTGAAATAAATTTGGAGGTAAAGGCACCTCCAAATTTCACTAACTACAGAGCCTTGTATTTGAAACTGAGCCTGTATTTCCAGCAGAGGTGTGTGCACACAGGATTGAATGGCCCAGTGGTTCCTAATCCAGTTCTCAAACAGCAGCAGAAAGCCTTTTTCTGCAGAAATCTCCTTTGCAGCTGCACTGCCAGGGGCTCCCCCTCCACATCAGGTGCAGGGAGCACTTCTGAGTTGGTGTCTTGTTAGTAACAGGCCAGAATTCCCATAAACTCGTTGTGCTCAGAGCATAGAGGCCAGCACCCAGAAATTTGGATGTGGCTTTGAATGCATGTGGGTGATTTTGTACAGTAAAGGAGCTGCTCAGTTTTTGTGAGTGCTGAGCAGTGCCTATGTAGCTTGGCGAAAAAGGGAGAGGAGATGCTAATGAATACAAAATTGATAATAATCTCATTAATTTAGAGCCACCAGAGCTGCTCAGACTCAGTGTTAGTAGCAGAGCTTTGCAGCTGTCACGTTTGATCCATGTATTTCTTCCCAGTCTCTCAGTCCTGATCCTCTCCCCTTCATGCACTAAGTCAAACAGGACACACCTGAACTTCTAAAGGTTTCCAGATGTTTCTTTCGTTAGGCTATTGGGAGGCAGTAACTCTCAAAGGGCAGAGGGGTTTTGGCTATTTGAATTCACTCAGAGGAGCAGGAGGGGGCTGTGCCCCATCCGGTGGGCACTGGGGAGCAGCAGAGCACAGCTGGGGCAGGAATCCCCTTCTGAGGGATGGGCTGGGGCACCAGCACTGCCCAAATGGGCTCAGAGGCACTGGCAGGGAAGCTGTTCTGTGATCAGAGGCAGCCAATTGTGGAGCTCAGTTACTGCAGCCATGTCTGTACCCTGTGTGCATCACTGGGGTCATTCTGGCTTTGCTTTCCCAATAAGTCAGGGCTCAGTGCTCTAAAATGTCACTGTTGTCTCAACCAAGTGCATGATGGCTGAGCTGCCACTTGAGCAAGCAGAGAGGACCCTGTTTTTTAAAGACATCCCTTTCCTAGAGTACCTCCAGGCCTGTTTGCCTCTTCCACTCACCATCTAGGGGAGGAATCTAAAGAAAAAACAAGCATTTCACACTCCTCCAACTCCATTTCTTTGTCCAAAACTCAGTTTTGTCCCTCTCAAAATCACATTTTTAAGCTTATAGACTGTCTGTATTAAGTAGTCTATCCAAGTGGCAAATTTCTGAGGGGATTTAGAAAGCTAAAGATGGGAACAGCTGCATTCAGTAACTCCAAAAGTCTTAATTCTGAATAAACAAGGTGGGTTTTACAACGGCTTTGTGTTTAGAGGAAGGGTATAAGAGAGAAAACATGCCAAGGGGTCTGCATCTTACATTGACATTGTCCATGATGACAAATTTGCAAATTTGTTTCCAAAACCAGAAACTTCCAGGCTGAGGAACACTCCAGGGGTAGCAAAGGAGGGACAGCATGGACTGCTCATCACTCCTGGCTGCATCTGCATCTCTGGTGCCAGAGGGGGGACCCTGCACACCTCCTGCCTTCAGCTGGGACAACAAGAGAGGGAGCAGGAGCTGTGTGTGGCACCAAGGAATCCCTGCTGAGCTGCTCACCTGCACCCAGGTACTGCTGGTGCCAGGTGAGCTCTCCCCCTTCCCTTTGCTAAGCTGCTTCTCACCTTGGCAGCCTCTCTACGAAAATACTCACTGAATATCTCAGTCTGCTCAGCTGCAGTTGGTTTGAGCTCATATTTTCTGTTAAAAATGCCTGATTGGTTCTCTAAAATAACAAAATACTCCTCTCATTTGTGAAGGCTGGGACTGCTTAAGCAGAGGCTTGAATTACTACTGAAAAGTGTGTAACAGACTTTTGTGTAGAGAGTTTGTGTCATGTACTGTAATTTATTAGTCTCCCAAGGTATGCAAAATTGTTCTGTGACTATTCAGTAGCCATAAAATATATGAAGAAATGCAACTACCCCAAATTTCTGAGATTTCTTTTGTGTATAAACGTATTGCCATTCCTAAAATGTTTATGTGGCTCTAGGACATTTATTTGCAAGACACAGACTGTTTTAGTAGTACCCAGAGTACCTTAACCTTGGCTGGACTTGACTCCAGGTGCTTCTGTAACACAGAACTACAATCAAATGAAGCCCTAACTCCAGTAATTGAATTTTAGTAACCAAATTTTATGAAGGAAACAAATTTCAGTTACACCTGTGTACTTGCAAAAGATGAATTTTCAGTTGTTAAATGTAAGTGTTCATAGACAAGCCAGTGCACTCAACCAAAGAGAGAAGAGAATCAATATCACCCCTGAGCAGCAGCTCAAATTTCAAATATTCACAGCTTGTAAAGTCGAACTTGTGAAGTTTAATTGACCAGGAATAATTTGAGGACAGTGATCTGTATGAGCTTCATAGGCAGAATGCAACTGAGTTATTCACTGGAAATTATTTATTCCACTTTAGAAATAATGGGGCACATGAAATGTGGCTGTGCATTTGCTAAAATCTGAACTTTAATTTGCCCATGAGCACTGCATGATCCTCAGCAGAAAAGGAACAGCAATTAGGAGCTTGTTTTCATGTCATTCCCTCCCACCGGTGCTCTTGTGAGTAACCTGGCTATCAATAAGCCCATCCCTCCTGCCACAGCCCCACAGAGCTGGAGCTGTAAAGGAGAAGATTAACAAGGGATCCATGATCTCTTTTGCTTCTGTGACTTTGAAGTTCAGAGCAGAATTAACCTGTGATTCTTCCTTCTGCTGCTCTGCAGTGACCACTGAACTAAATGCCCATTTTTCTTCCTCAGCTGCCAGGGAATATGTGCTGTAGTTTTTCCTGTAGAGCCTTGTCCCTCTGGCAGAGCTGAGAGTTTGGCTCATCCAATTTCAGTGTCTCTTTTGTAACCCATGGCAATGCTTTGCTCCTCTCTGCTGTGGTTTAATATTACATGTCTCTGGGAATGCCAGGCAGGAAACAGGGGCTGCTGGGGAAAATCCTTCTGGGGAAATGGAACAACCTCCCAAAGATTGTGAGTAGTGTACTCAGGGACATCAAAGTTCAGCTAAATGAGTTTTGAGAGGAAGAAAGGTAAAAGTAAAGTGAACACAATTTGGAACTTAAGTAACGCTTCAGTTATTTTTTTTAAACTTAAATCTTGGCTTAATTCTGAAATTGCACATTGTTTAGGAATATTGGTGTTGGCAGAAGTAAAGTTGTTTGGAGGAGTCTGTTGTGACTTAGAGGATCCCATATGGAATACTGTGATACTTCATGCATGTAATCCATCCTCCTCCCCTGGTGTCCAGTTTACCCCTTCTGTAAGGCTGTGAAATTAATCCCCAGCCAGGCCCCTTCAGGAGCCAACACTGCAGGCTGGGCTGGAGACATCCAGTCACAGAGCTGCTGTTGTGTTTGCAAATCTGGCATCCCAAATTACAGTGTGTGTACTCAAACTGCAGATACAGGCAGCTGGTGAGGCTGATACCCTGCAAAGTGTCTGTGAACTAGCTGGGGATCCCAAAGTACAAAAAATCCATGAAATGGAGCCCATTCTGCTCTGGCCTCACCTCACAGCCAGGTGTAGGGACAGTTAATGTATAGATGCACACTGGCTGGAGAACAGACACAGAGGGCAGTGACTCTGCTTGAGAAAATGTCACATCCAGACTCTAGGGTTTAGATTTTACAGGTGGGCAGTGGTGGCAGAGATCTTTCTTTTTCAAAGGTAAAAATGAAAACTGAGCACGTAGCAGTTTCTTTCTTATGTTTTGATCTTTAGGATTTAAGTGGGAAACAAGGCTTGTGCCCATTAAAAGGGTGAACTCAGGGGTCCCTAATTAGGAGTCAGGATGCAGGGGTTCCCTGCCAAGGACATGGCATCCCCACCACGGTGTTCAGCTTCCACCTGATGAACGTTAAGAACCTCTTCACGTTAGAAATGTGAATTGCTGTGTTGGACAGCAGGTGCTGCTGGGGCTGGGGGTGCTGAGCACAGCTGGGCTGTGCTGGGCTGACCCTGGAGCTGGCTCCCTGCTCACCTCTCTGCTCAACAGCAGCACTTCAGGCTGCATCACCCTCTGCCAGACACCTTCTGTGTCAGCTTGCCTACAGGCACAAGCCAAGCAACTGATGGAAATTGCAAGGAATCTTTTGTGCTTTGCCCTATTTTTAAGCCTCTTTGTCACTTAGCCTGAGTATTTAAGCAATACAGGTTGGGGGCTTTTCTGCTTTACCGCAACTTGTTTGAAGGGTTGTCAATGTTTGTTCCCTTTTGAAATTCTTATCCAGACTGCACAGCTCAAGTTCTATGGTGTAAACCCTCCTTAGAAGTCACCATCTCCATCCTGAGCTCTGCTTCACATCCCTTTGGCCAGACTGACCTCATCTGTGCAGATTTAAAATCCTAAGCAGCACAGCCCACTCAAACCAGCACACCTGATGAGTCTGGGCAGTATTATAACACTGGCCTGTATAACAGTGGTTAAGCAAAAGGTCTGCAGAGTGATCTACAGAGAATTTTTATGAAGGAAATAATGCTTAGGGTTGTTTCTTTTTTTTTTTATTTTACAGGATGAGCCTCCCTAATTTGCAGTTCTTTGCAGCTTCCTGCTGCACATTGAGTGAGAGTGCTTCACTAGCTTTAGATGCTTCTGTCACAAGAAAATTGATCGGCAGGGACCAGTTTTTGGATTGTCACTCCAGGTAAGATGACTCCATTGACTTCTGTAGTTCACTGACTGAGAAACCAACTACCCAAACGTTTAGGGGTGTTGAGATTACTAGCAATGTGAAGGGTGACAAAACAAGGCAGATTTTTATCTTTTTTGTCCAGCTCAGCTTCTTTGCATCATTTTTCCCCTGCTGTTCCTGATTTTTCTTTCCTTCTGGCATGGACAAGGTTGTGTTCCCTGACACAGGGTTGTGTTCCTGGCCCTGCCTTCCAGCAGGTGTGCTCCCCCTGGTCCCAGAGAAGAGCTGCTGTGCTCTGGTGCCTGTTTGGGCTGTGCAGCCCCTGCCCACAGCAGGCTGGGCTTGCTCAGGTGCCCTGTTTGCCCTGGCTGTCGAGGAGAGCCGAGTGATGCACGCTCAGTGGTGGCAACAGAGCTCACACATGTGCTCCATTGTGCTCCAGTACCTCTGTTTCCATGGCTACCACAGAAATTGCAGGTTTGCTGTACAAATTAGTGGGAGAGATTCAGAACACCAGCCCATGTGCTGCAGCTGCTGATCCTCACTCCGCTCTGCTGGGCTCGGACATGCTGCTCTGTGTCAGGGCTGGCATGCTGGGCTCCAGCAGGTGCAGCAGGCTCTGCTAGGGAATTTGGGTGCACACACCAGCCTGCCCCTGCTCTGGCTCTGGGCTGACAGGTTTTTGAGCAGGAGGAGCCATCAGCATTTTGATGTACAGCCAAGGGGCCTGGGGGAAGTTTCCTCCCTGGTGGTTGGGGTTTGTGCCACTCCTCAGGTGTAAAGCAACTGAGGAAAGGGATATTTCAGCATGAGACTGTAGAGCTTTATGCAGAAAGGCTGCAGGGAGAACATAAACCCAGACAGAATAGGCAACACAATGCCCTTCCAGATCAGTACCTGTCACAACTGGAGACTGACAGCAGGGTCTGCAGGGAGGATTACAGGGATGCAGAAGCTTTGGAATTACTCTCCCTGTGCCCAAGTAGCTGCAGCTTTGCTTTCCTGAGTCAGAGATGGTATCAGTGTCTTTATTTGCCTAGTGATTTTTTTTTTATATTAATTTGCCTGGTTGTGTTTGAGCTCACATCCAATTTAGCCTGTGCAACAGCTCAGCAACAGGCTCCAGAGCTGAGCTGTGCACTGGGTGACCAAACCCCCTGCAGGCATATTCTCCCAGCATCAGCAGGCCTAGTTCAATTATTTGTAGTCATTTACAAGCAGAAGCCATTCCATAACTGTGATTATTGCCCATCTCCTTGTGATCTCCACTTCTAGAGAATCCTTCCTGGGAGGGCTGGTGACCAGAGAGCTCATGGCTGTCAAGATTCAGATGCATTGTAGATGTCCCTGTTCCTTTCCTGGTACATCCCAGTATCTGGATTGTCCCTGAGCACTGGGCTGGCACAATCTGCCAGAATACAAATATCTCATTCTTTACGGGTAGCTGTAAAAGCAAAGCCCATCTCTCTGTGCTGCCACAGCTGTCTGCCTTGAGGACTCTGCCAAACTCCTTCCTTGGACAAGTCCACCCCTGGCATCCCCTGGTCAGTGGGGTTAAGAATATGGCCAGACCAGACTTTTGACTTGTCAGGTAAAAGTTTTTGCTCACACTTAGTGTAAATTTCTTCTCCATGAAGTATTTGTATCAGGATGATCTTTCTTGAAGGCCTTGTCTTTCCCCATCTCTCTGTGGAGAGCCGGACTGCAGGATCCTGCAGCAGGAATGAGTTACCTGTCATTTCTAGTGGGCACTTCTGCACTGTGGGCTTTAGTGGTCCTCCAGCTCTGCCATCCCACAATACTTTGTCTGCCTCATGGCTTCATGAGAGATCCTCAAACCAGAAATTCAATCCCCTACCACGATGTAGCCCAGCTTGAATTGTAGGCAGTTTGGTGACCACCATTCCTTTGAAGTGAAAGATGTCCTGAATGGGACAGCTCTGGTGCTGATACAAGGTTGTCCTGTTGTTGCTACTCATAAAAGGTTCCAGAGGGAGGAAATTTTGGCAATCTCTGGAGGGGATTTGTCCCATTGCAGCCTCTGAGGTAACAAGGTCACAGAGAGCACTCCTTGCAGTGTGTGCATCATGCCTGGCACACAAGGAGTGTGTTTGCCTGGTGATAATCAGACCAATAGGGTGTGTTATTACATTGCACTGTGTTATTGCAGTTATTAAATAGCTTTCCCAAGGATTATAGAATAGCTGTTTTTCAATAATGTGTTCCTTGATGCCACCTTGAGAAGGAGCTCATGAGGATTTTTAAAAGGTCTGTTAGCAACATTCCAATTTAGGTAAGTATTGTGGTTGAATTCAAATCATGAATAAAATATGAAATAGATTAAGAAAGATGAATGGAGTGTTGAAAGGAGATCCAAAATCTGTTTTGGCTAATGCTCATAGCATTAATTTTCTAGAACTGCTTTCTTCACACACTGCTGACTGAAAGTGCTTCATCCATTCAAATATCCACACTGTCACAGACAAGTTTCTTCTACATTTTTATCTTTCACCAACTTGAAATTGAAAGGAAGTGACCATAGAGGATGGCTTCTCAGATACATAATTCTAGCATTTAAAGAAATTTAACTCTGCCCTGTGAAGTCACACAGCACATGTTTGAGATGGTTAAAGATTTTGTCTCCAGATTAGAATAAATTACATTAGCAATGAGCCAATTTTAATGTATTCTTCTTTTCTTGGTAGGTCTTGGTGTGTCTTTGCAATATTTCATACTTAAAGATTTATTTTGAGAGAAATTTTGACTTGGATCACTTGCATTATCCTGTAAGTAACATAATTTCAGTTTTATTGTCAGGAATATTTTCTTTTAGACCATATGAGAATGTTCTTTGGGAATTAACTTAATTTTGTGTATTCTGACTAAATCTGCTGAAACAATACCATGGACTATTTCTAGCAGTTTCACAATATATAACATTGACCTTGCTAAGAAGCAAGAATATCCTTTCTTTATTTTCCAAGATTAAGAACATCACCAGATTCACGCACTAACGTTACTGCTGCCTCCCCTAATAACATATTTGTGAATTTGTCCTCCAAGTTTAATGGAGGACAGTGCTAGCAATCTGGAAAATTTGGCAACATTACTCATTGTAAAAAGCCTATTTACATATATTAAGGATGCCTTGCTAAAGTTTAACAACTAGACCTCCCTGAGCAGCCCAGCAGCACTGAAGCTCTCAGGTACCCACACAGCACTCAGCTTGTCTTTGCTGCCTGGGGAGGTTAATTGATGCAGCTGAGTCAGCTAATCACCCCTGCAAGGAAAACACATCCACATGTTTACTGTAACGCACCAAGATCCTTGGACAGGGACATTTACCATCCCTGCAGAAAATAATAAGCCATCGGGTCAGGAAAATACTTCATTTTACTCCAATAATGTGTCTCTGGCCTGCAGCAAATGCTGTGAACAGCACAGAGACAGGGCAAGCATGCAGCGATCCTGCCCAAAACACCTTCCAGTCTGCAGTCCTCTGCAGCATAATTCCTAAACCTGTGGTTGTGCCTGTTTTGAAGAACCTTTCTCCCATTAATCCACCCAGGAAGTTGTATCTCCCTATATTATTGTATTTACAACCTCATGTGGCAAGGATCTTCTTCCAGTTTATCCTGCTTGCCTGCCTGAAGCACCAGTTCCAGGAGAGGGTTTATGTGGTGGAAGGCATAGAGCAACTCTTCTGGAACATCTTGGGCTGATTTCAGGGGTGCAGAAAGGGCATGTCCACACATCCAAGCCTTACAAGCAGGAGTAACTCATGTTCAGTGAGCAAAGAGTAGCTGGGAAGCAAAAATTAAGGTTTTGGATGAGGTTTAATCTCACATTTTTCCTCTGCTGTGTGTTTGCAGCTTAGGATGCTTTTCAAAATGTAGGTGCACTTATGGTCCTGTTAGAAACAACAGAGCCTCCTTTGAGAAATGCTGTGACTGTTCAGGTGGGGCTGGGCAGAGAACAGTGCATAAGAGCACTCAGAGCAGTTTTAAAGTCCAGGTGTTCATTTGTTCTGCTTCCATTTGTCCTGCTGTGGGACTGATCCACAGCTGTGTGCCAACTCCTTCCTAGATGTTTGCAGTGTCCCTGCAGTTGTCACTCTGCAAGACAAGTCCTACCCCCAGCACTCTTGCCTGTTGATCCCTGGTTTAATTGATCAGTGTTACATCTGCCCTGTTCTGGACTCTGATTAAATTAGAATCCCATTAAGCACAATTGGCTGTCAGGCAAAGGAAATGTCTGATCTTATTTTCAGCATAAGGCATGCCCTCTGCACTCCTGCACTTCAGAAAATTTCCAAGGAGTGATAAAGCTGCAGTTTTGATAGGATTCCTGCATTTCTCCAAGGAATTGTTGAAAATGTGGCAGCTTAGTAGCTGAATATTAGATTAAGTGGCACAGTGTAATGTGTGTATAGCTCCTAAATAGCGTAAAGGCTCCTTTATACACAAATCTTTGCACTGTGCCACTTAACAATCCCAAAGAGCTGCCCACTCCTCGAGGGAGATCCTTCACAGCATCAGCCCCTCTCCAGTGATGCCACAGCAGCAGGACCTGGGCAAAAACACCCCTTGAATCCATTAAAACAATCACAGAGATGGGAGCTGTGTCCCATCTCATGATAAAGAACAAACCTAGTTTGGCGTTCCTTGGAGAAGTACTGACAAAACCTGAATTTAAGGTGCTTTGTGTTTTTCTCTTTTTGTCGGAAAAACAGGATATCAGTGGAGCATTTGTGTCAAGGGCCATGTGCTGAATGTTCCCTTTGACATTTCTAACAAAGCCCAGCAGAACTTGCCACAGTGTCCAAGGCATTCCTGACTTGTGCCACCCCTGGCTGTGCTCCTGCTCCCATTCCTGGAGGGGTTACAAGTCCTTGTTCATCAAGTGTTATTTACTTTGTGTGCAACAGGAGCTGTTGTTTCAGCAGCCTGGTCTAGTGAAAGGTGTCCCTGTCCATGGTAGGAGGTCAGAACTGGAGGGTCTTAAAAGGTCCCTTCCAACCCAGGTCGTTCTGGGATTCATGTTGAGAATATTTGGCAAATTATCAAAATCTCATCTTACTTGCTACTGTGTTAATATTTGGTATTTTCCTTTAAAAGGCAGCCTGTCTTCTGCAGTCTTCCCTTCAAATCAGGTTGCTTAACAGCTTAAAGTCTTTAAAACCATGTGTGCCCATTTTGTTCTCTGGGATCATTCTATGCCTTCTGCTAAGCAGTAATAAAACAAACTGAAAATACAATATTTTGTTTTAAATATTCACTCCTTAACTGTGCGTCCTATGGGCTGGGCTCAGTTAATCTCTGGATTTCAGTGTAAAATATTATGGCATTTATCTGTAAAAATTATTTGTACTGCACAACACACTCACTTGAGAAAATCCCCAGACCAAACTCTTTTTGTACCAGGTACATTCGTTTTCTGCTGTCAAAGAAAAAAAATCTTGAGAAACCACTAAGCAGCTGCAACCTTTCTCCAGACCTTATTTCCCTGATATTAGTTGAACTGTGCCTTGCACTTTATAGGAACAGGAAGAAATCCCTGCTCTGAAGCAGGAGTCTGTGCTGTCTGTAAATGCCATTCAGCCCTTCCAGACCAGAAATTAATTGTGCCCCCACCATGAGAAAACAAGCAGGTCAAGGCACTTCTAGTGCTGTGCCCTGGCAGGTTATTAGGGTTTCACCTCAGGAAATCCAGCTTCAAATGCCACCTAACCTACCTTAGCTGGTCACTCAGGAGCATGCATGGAACAGACACAAAAAGTTAATAAAAATACACCAGGCACCCCCCACTGACAGCTATTTAATTACCAATCATTTGCTGCTCACACAGAGGAGCAGCATGCTGTCCTCTCGGGTGCTTCATTAGTACCATCCAATTTTGGCTATGTCAAGGTTTATTTTCTGGTCAGTCCTTTAAGAATAGAAAAATCAAATATAATAAAAATACAACCTGTGGCGTTGTAACTGTCAGGGTAGCAGCTATTGCTGGACTGAAATCAGACCTTCCAGCCTGGTTTTCACATGTTTATAGTTTTTTGTTGTTGTTGTTTCAAACTATTTTGATGCTAAGAAGGAAATGTTAAAAAAAAAAAGAAAGAAAAATCAAATTGTGTTGTCCTGCAACAGAGTGTTGTGCTCAGGGCTTTGAGATGCTCTGTCATGACAGACCTGCAGGGAACCCCAGTCCTGCTCAAAGAATTAATCCCTCTCCTTTCATCCACAGCACAGCTCACCAATTTATGGGGTCCCTCAGTCAGCCCAAAGGTTGGTGAGCACTGAGGAGCATTACAAAAAGTGTTTGCAGCTGATTTAAGATGGGAGGGCATCAGCTGTTATGCTGTGCTTCCTTCTATGCCCTAAATTTAAGGTTCCATTCTGTCCAGTGGAGTTCAAATAAGTAAAAACTGTTCTATGCTCAGAAAGAATGAAAGGGAGGGAGTCCTTAAAAAAATCTCATTGGAGCATGGAGCAGACTCTCAGGCTGCTTCTGCCATTAGATTCTTTGGTTTTCCTTGCTCAGCATGATAATTGCAACAGCTCCTGGATTTATGTACTAGAGGGGGATTAACACATGCTCATCACTATCTTTCTGCAGGTGCAATTTATGTTTATCTTCCTCCTGCTGCTGGTCCCATCTATTGATTCCCAGCTGCTGCCTTTCTACCTAAGCCTTGGTACAGAGGGAGATGGAGTCAAACACAAGGTCCCCACTGGATCTTTGGGAACGGCTCAAGGTGCTTGAAATTCCCTCAGCCACAGGACTGTGGGTCTGTGCTGGAGCCACAATTACCTCATCACTGATTCCACCTGGCCAGCCTTGTTGTCCTTGTTGTGGACACTGAGTGACAATGGCAGTCCCCAGCAAACTGGGCACTGAGCTCTGGGCTGAATCTGTCCCCAGCTGCCTGTTTAGGGTGAGTTTTGCTGGGGAGAAACTGCGTGCAGAGTGGTGTTTGGGGTTTTTTTAGGATATGTGTGTATGCCACTGCAATGCCTGCTGACCACTAAAAGCTCCAGATTTTTACAAGTTTTACTGAATATTGACCCCTAATTTCTGCGGCATTTAATTGTTTCCTAGGTAATGCTGTGTGCTGTCAGCCAGTCCAGGTCACCAACAGCTTCAGTTGGCTTTACTCTCTTTTATCTTGCTCTGTTTCCAGCCAAGCCCTGGGAATAATTTTGGCATTTTGTTGTGGTCTAAGCTCAGGCTTTGCACCTACACACAGAAGCTCTGCTGCCAGTGCTGTCAGTTCTTCTAGGTCTTTCTTTCCAGAGGCTCTGGGACAAGTCTCAGGGCTCTCCTGAAAGCTCCACACTCCTGAGCTGCTGGAGAAGGCTCAGGTAGATATTCCTCTCTGCTGCTGGGTCCATTCCCAGGCTTGAGGAAGGACTGATCCCTGCTGAGGCTCAGAGTCTGAAGGAGAAGCTCTCAGCTGAGCTGGCTGCAGCACACAGAAGGTGTGTGATGGTGATCACAGGGATCTTAGGATGAGGGAAGAGATGAGGATCTGACTCCATGTTTCAGAAGGCTTGATTTATTATTTTATGATATATATTGCATTAAAATTTTACTAAAAGAATAGAAGAAAGGATTTCTTCAGAGGGCTGGCTAAGAATAGAATAAGAAAGAATGATAACAAAGGCTTGTGGCTCAGACAGAGTCTGAGCCTGCTGGCTGTGATTGGCCATTAATTACATGCAACTAACATAGGCTAATCACAGATGCACCTGTTGCATTCCAGAGCAGCAGATAATCATTGTTTACATTTTGTTCCTGAGGCCTTTCAGCTTCTCAGGAGGAAAAATCCTAAAGAAAGGATTTTTCAGAAAAGATGTTTGTGACAAAGGTGTTCTTTGAGAGATGCCCATGCCTGGATCCCCCCTGCTCTGTGGGGCCGCTGCTGTGGCCTCTCAAGCTCTGTTCAGCCAGGTCAAAATGCACAGCACAGACAATGCTTTTCTACTTGGTTTTATCCAAGTTCCCTCAACAGAGCCATTTTTCAGCTGCTTATTCCCACATCCTGTTTTAATTCTGTTCTGTGAGTCTTCTGGACCCAGTGCTGATCTGCATCTATGGCAGTAATTAAATAGGGATCATGGAGTAACTTCATTTGGATAATCTAGAGAAACAGTATTCAGAAGCATTTTTATACCCTGCTTTTTTATTAAGAATATGGGCTCATCAAAGCAAAGTGTTTGTGGGAAGACTTTTAAGAATAATTTTGTGGATCTGATTCTGATTAAAACTAGAGAGCTGGATCAACCTCCTGCATAACCAGCTGCTGGTATTTAAGGTGAAAGTCTTGGGTTCAATTTCCTCTTGAAGATCAGCAGACCAGGAACTTGGATTCAAAGCAAATTCTAAAATACAAATCCTTATCTTGCCTTATTTCATACTCTCACAAACCAAGCCTCATCTTTCCACAGCTTTTAAAGAAAAGCTTTGCTTGACCTAAAAATCAGCCATACAGAGCTCCAAGAACCAGGTTGAAAAGCTAATTGCACCTTCTACACTCCACTGTAGCATTATTGATTAGAACACTTATTTAAAAAGTAGATTTTTTTACGTACTTCTAAGCTTTATTGCCCAGATGGTGAGATTGCTTTCAAAAATCCCTAACCTTGAACTCCACTCATCAGTATAAATTCATTACCTGAGTTAATCTTGCTGTGTAGCAAGTAAGAAAAAGTCTACCCAGTATTATATTCCTAGAAGCATTTCCAGTCTCACTTTGGCAAAACACTGTGGCTTTAAAGGGCTTGAAATTGTGTTGGAGTCTTGTTGCAGCTGAGATGGGAAGAACACAATCTATAATACTTTTCATTTGCTGTATCTACTAAAGTGTTCTGTACCTGGGGTTATTACTGGCATCTCTATAGTAAAGCAGCAGAGTATGTATCACCTTAGAGATGTAATTAGTGACCTACCCTTGTTTTTCATCTTTCATGATAAAGACAAATTCTAACTTTCTTTTCTATCTCTTTTCCCAAATTCAACCTGGCAGGCAAAGATTAATGACAGGAAATAACCCCAAGTGCCTTCCCTGGGGACTCCTGTGCCTTGGCTCCTGGCTTACAATCTCTTTTTCCTGCTTTAAGGTATGATTGAAAAAAGTCATTTAGTGGTAGTTTGTTAAATTTAGGAAGTTGAAAAGGCAGGATGTGGGGGGAAAGCAGTATCCAAAGCAAGCCATTAAATTCCACTGATTTCAGAAGCCAGAGCATCTTTTTGAGATATTTGCTGTGTTGTGCCCATTTTGGAGGAGACAAACACTTTAGTTAGGCCAGCTGTCAGGTTTAGTGGGGCTGAGCAGTGTATTACCACCCCTGTTCAGCACACAGTGGTAACTCAGAGCTCAGCTGCAGATCATGTGTAAATGATGCCTTGCTACAGGGGTACCTTCACCCCTACAGATGTCACCATCTCTCAGGGCCTGGTGTGTCACCTTAACGTTTACCACAGCCAGTTCTGCTAATTGCATAACATTTAGCACAAGAATGTTGGCACAGCTGCCAACAGTGAGTTTGAAACTCTGAGAAACAGACATGGTGACCCTCTGCATCCCAGGTACTCTTCTTCCTTCCTAATAAATGGATTCAGAGACAAAAAAAATTCATATGAGCTCTTTATCAGGGTGATCACAAAACAGCCACAATGATACATTCTTGGTTGTGAAGGCAAACAAATACAAGTGCTTTCCAGAAATCCATCTGTTTGGTGACTGTGGCAGAGCCTCCAAAGACAGAGAGCTCCATTCCCCCAGCCTTCATCCACAAGAAATGCAGCATCTCTCAAGGGGCCATTCCTAAGCAAGCACAGGCAACCCTGAAACATCAGTCAAAATTGCCACCTTCTAGAACAGTCATGAATATGAAATCAAGCTCTAAGATGAATGTATGGAAGTTGCCCCTCCTTGCTGAGTGCAATGAGCTTTCCCTCTGTGTGGAGTCTCTTTGGGTGGAATACATTTGTTGCAGTGGTTTGGTTTTGTTAGTGCTGAGGAGTCAGCACAGGTCAGTGGGCAAACTGAATTGTCATCTGTGTGCCTGGAACAGAATTGTTCACCCTGTGCTCACCCCCAGGAGCCTGGGGAGGCAGAACCACGTTCTGAGCCCAGCCCATGCTCTCTTTGCAAAGCAAAGGGGCTCTCTGGGTGCTGTATGACCCCTGCAAACACCTCCCCAGGAGCAGCCACTGCTCCTTGGCTTGTCCAACACTTGTAGAACCACTTTGCACAGAGAAAGGATTTTTTTTTCACTTTTATGCTCTCTAACAGACATGAAAAGTGATTTCTGAGATTAATGCAGTATAAAATTTTAACTCACTTTGTATAACTTCCTTCTTTTTAGACAGGAAGGGTTTTTTCCTCATCTATATTATGACATGCTTTAGTAAAAGCAATCTTACTCTTTTTATCTCTGGCAGCTTGGGATGGGCATAATATTTACAAATGATGCCATGAACAAGTTATGCAAATCACCCAAATGAGAACCAGTAAGCTTTTATATCCTGCCAAACAATCGTGTATTGTAGAAATGCCACATTTTACAGTCAATTTGAGAAATGTTTTAGAGACTTTAAAATATTAGTGCCCTATTTTTCATATTGCTCAACATATTATAACAGGATTTGTTAGTACCATGAGTCCAAAAACATAAACCTTTGGAATATGACAGAAAAAATAACTGTAATAGATTTTAAAAACCTAAGTGACTTTGAAAAGCCTCTTGGAAGTTCATAATACTGTCAATTTTTTTAAGATCTTGTCTAAAATTGAAAACCTGTATGACTGCAGAGAGGCAATCTGTGCCTTTCTAACTAGTATAAAAATACCATTTCTTAGTGCATGTAAATGAGCCATTATAAAATAAATCAGCAAAAAAGTAATGGATTCTCTTAATGTAAGAAGCTCTCCAAAGGGCTCATCTACACTGCAGAATTCACAAGTGTCTGAGCTGAGCTAAGGATCAGTGACTGCATGGCCACATTCACTGGTTTATAACGTTGTTCTGCAATCCCTTTGGCAGAGTCCTGGAAGTTTCTTATTTAGGAGGTTCTGGCCACTCAAAGTGGGGCTCCTGGGAGTCACAAATCCCAAGGAGATCTGCAAGACCCTCCTTTCCTAACTCAGTGTGGGGCTGCTGGTGAAAAATGAGCTGAACCAATTCAGCCTGTCAGCTGCTCTGCCATAACCAGCTCCTTTTTAAATGATTTATCTAAATTTGAAGACATTATTGAATTATTTGTAAGTTTTAATATTTTTTTCATCTTAAAAGGGACATGTGGATTCTTGTTTGAAAAATAACAGAAGTTTTCCCTTGAAAAGGAAATTGCCAGACACTGTAGTAACCCACACAACTTTCCTCCCCAAGTGAAACAAAGGAACATCTTAGAGGGGGAATAAGGAGCAAATATCACAGCAGTAAATTTGTGAGAACTACAAAATGATAACTTTTTAAAATGTGCTGTTGAGGGGTTTTTTCCAAGCAAAAATGTTTTCATGCCATATTACATCTGAAATCCTTACAACAGCTTTCCACCTTCCCTGTATAGACCTGGGAGAAAGGGCTTATTTTTTCAAAGCTCTTCTAAATCTCCATCTCCCTGCCTGACTTTATTTAAAAGGTTACAGAGCTCCAGAGCCTTTTTCTTGGTGTTTGTGCCTGCATTTTACTGGTGTTTATGTGCTGTGCCCACTGCTCTGGGTCTGCAGAAGGCTGGTGGTGTGGGGCTTCTTGGGGGAACTATTTACTGCTGGACAAGGGCAAGCTGGGGCTTTTCTAACTTGGTTTTCCACTTAAGTCTTTTTATTAAAGACTCACAACAATTTTCTTTTTGATGGAGGCTGTGACAGAAGCACCTGGGCTGGATGAAGCCAGGCCAGGCCCTGCCAGGGAGGACAAGAGGGGACATTTCAGAGGTAAAAATAAATGCACAGGGTGAAGTGTGAGATAGGGACAGGGGGGTGCATTGCTGTACAAACCTTTGTGTAGTACAATTAAATATTGTACATCCTTGTACCTGAGGAACCACAGGGCCTCTGCAGCTGAGTCTTCTGCTCTTTTCCCATTTATAAAATATTCTCCTACATTGCTGCAGAGTGTTGGGTGTTCCCAATCCAGCTGAGATCCCCCTCCTGCCACACTTGTGCCATCACTTTGTGTTTTAGGCCCAAGGGTTGGGGCTGAGTGGGAACTTTACCCCTCTCTGAAGCATCCCACAAGTTTTTGGCATTGAGAAAGGAACTCTTACACTGAGCTGTGCTGGCAGTGCAGTGTTGTGAGCTATTTCACCAGTGCCGTGGCATGTGCAATATATATTGTGCATGTTGCAGCAACAGGAGGGATGATGAATGGGTTATGTGTACCCTGCTTTCTGCTGCTGTTGATAAGTGACTGATAAAGCTGACAAATAGCTGGATTAAGTAAACAGAGCCTACATAACTCATTCAAAGGGAATAACTGTTTACAAATTATCAATTGTTATCTCCACAGTTTTGAGTTAGGGATGATGGATTCTGTTCCTGTGTAGAAATAATGGGCTGGTGATGTGTATCAGGTATGTGAGCAGTAAAATTGGCCATCTGACAGTGCTCATCCTCAGTACAGGGACTGGCAAGAAAGTGAAAAAAAAATTTTGCCTGGAGAAAGTAGAGCAATTTTTGTCTCCGTTAAAGAACAGGGATTTGAATACCACAGAGGCTTCGAGATTTGGCTCCTAAATACAATCAGAATAATTTTTAGCCTTGTTTAGAAGCTATTGTAACTAGTTTCTACTCAAGGGCCAATTTCCATCTCATTCCCATGAGCAGTGTTTGCAGAAAATGTAGAATGCATATCTTTTATTAGAACAGGAAGAACTGCCTGCTAATATAATGCCACTTCATTTCATAATTCACTGCAGGATGAGAATGGGATTTCAGAGCTGCTGATGTTTTAATCTCATGTTTCCTTGTCCAAAGTAAAAAGCTGTGCATGAACCATGTCAAGTTAAACAGATTTAGTTCCTCGATGGCTGTGTTGTATTTCTAGCACGTGTTAAAGGTGGGGAAGTGCTTGTGCTCAGCTCTCTATGATCAAGTGCTTGCTTTTAATTTAGTGACTCGTCCCTGCAGCATCCTGATAACAAAACGTGGCTTCAGATTGCTGAGATAACGCTGAGTGCCGACTGCACATCAGAGAGGGAATAACTTGGCTGGAAGAGGCTGGATTGATCCGCAGGGAAAAATGTTCTGAGCGGGGCTGGGAGCGCTGGCACATCGCAAACCCCAGCACAGCCCGGCCAGAGGGGGCCGGGACTGCGGGGATGCCCGGGAGCTGCCGGCCTGGGCGCGCTCCCTCCGGGGGTTTGGCACCCTCTGCTGTCCAAAAAACCCCAGAACACCCCGGGAACCGGGCCGCTCGGGGATGTAAAGGAGCAAATCAAACTCTTAACGGAGTAATTTTGGTGATCAGCCCCCCATACTCTTTCTTGCTGCAGCAAGTACTGAATGTCCACTGAAAAACGGGGGGGGGGGGGAAGGAAAAAAAAATTTTTCCTGCTTCTTTTCCTCCTAAAATAGTAATTGCATAATTACATTGGCTCTGTTTCTCATAAATGAGGCTACCAAGTCTTGGCTCCTGACTCCACTGCAAGGCTTCCTGACCATTCAGGCTGGATGCAAATACAGCACAAAGGCTGATGCTGGAGGAGTCTCAGATATGCTGAGGGAGGCTTTTTCTGCCTCAGCAAGGGCTCTGCACAATTATCACCGAGTCAAAGCCACCCCAGCATAGTAGAAACAAGCAGGTTCCTGCCTAACATCTGGCATGGCTGTTCTTGCTGCACGAGCATCTTGTGCTGCAGCTGAGAGTGCTGAAAATTGCCTATGACACCTTATGCATGTTTTAGCTATTTAGTTAAATGTTTATTCACTCCAGGTTTTTTTGGTAGCAATTAACAAATGCTTTCCTTGACAGAGACACACAGACCTTCACTCCTGCAACAGAAACGTGGGACACCTGGCTCTGCAGGAAGGGGATTTCAAACCTAGAAACTCTGGAAAACAGGAGGCCTGTTTCTATTGTGTGATTACCTCCACTGAATACCTCCTATATTTGATTGACAAGGTAAGAAATATTCTGTGTAGTAGGCGTGGGAGCCTGTAAGGAAATAGCCCCTGTTTGTCCCTTCTGTATTTCACATTTTGGATCTGTGCTTGCACACTGTATTCAAGCTAAAAAATAGGAATTCATCACCCAGATCTGCAAAGCACACAGTGCCAGTTTTCCCTTAACAGGACTCCAGAAATCCAAAGCTGTGCTTCCCAGTGGAGGCTCTTCAATGGCTGTGGCTGTTAAATGTTTTCAGTTCCATCTTTATCAATTTCCAGTTTTCTGTGGCTTCAAGTATGAAATCCATAGCAAAAGCAGGACAAAGCACTGTTCGTCTGAGGGCACAGATCCTCACAGGCATTGCTGCATTCCTTCCTGGCTTAGCTGGAATTCTGAGCCATGTTCCTCATGCTAATCTGGGCTCCAGAAGACCCCCACAGTCCAGGGCAACAAGCACAAGTGCCTGTGTGGGGCACGTGCCATGATTTTGTCCAGGATGGGCAGTGCTTCATCCTTCACCCTTGTCCAGCAGTAAATAGTTCACCCAAAAAGCCCCACGGCACCACCTGTGTGCCCTGGAGCTGGGGGTGTTGGGTACAAGTTCAGCCAGGAGCTCCTGTGCCTGCTGATGTCCACTCCATCCCCAGGGGAAAGTCACTTGGGGAATGCAGCTTTAGGGTAAATTGCCACTTGTTTCTCCTGCATTTCACTTCACTCCAGCAGGCTCGATGCTGCTTCCTTAACAAAGGATTAAATCCTTAAATGGATTTACTAATCAACTGCTTTTCTTTCCATACCCACTCTGCTTCTCCTCGCATCTTCTCAGACCTGGGAGGATAACTAAAGGCTCAGAATGCTCATACTCGTTTCTATTATAAGAAGAAGAAAATACACTGATTCTAAGAAATTCCACTTTTGGAAATAGCTTTGGTTTTTTTGCTGCGAGAGCCATGGTGTTCTAAATAGACTGCAGCTCTTCACATTCAGTCTCAATAGAAAATAAAATGGAGGAAGTGCAGAAGGCAGCACTGGCATGATTTGCATACAGGCTTTGAAAACAAGCCTCGGATAGAGGCAACTGAAAACCAGCTTTATATCAGGCTCTTGCTGCAACAGTGCTCAAGTCAAAGAAAGAAAAGCTGACCTTGTGGCAAAACAACCCTCACTCTGGTGTATATCTGACACAAACAAAAAAAGATAAGACACTGTTATTTTAAAGAGGACACAGAATTAGAAACTTGAGTGGTGGGAAAACACTAAATAAAACCCAGAATCCTAATTTGAGATCTCTAGTGAGTGGAAGCCAAGGTACCTCGTGCTGCCTGTGCACAGGGCAGTCTGCTGCTGAGCTATATATTCAACCACAGATTGGTTTCCCCAAGCATCAGCCAAGACATTGTTTTTATTGATTTATTTTGCTATCTTCCCACTGCAGTGATAGGATGACAAAAGAACCACCTGTGGGTATCCTAATATATCTAATGCCAGCAGATTTTCAGGTTGAATAAAAACAATAAATCTTTCCAGGCACAAAGGGGAAACTGTGAGGTAAGTTAATTTGGGAAACTAAAGAGCATGATTTAGGAATATTGGGTTTGTTAGAATGGATCAGACCAGTCCTCCTGGTTTACTGTCTTCTCCTCAGAGATAGATCCTTAGAGAAGACACAAAAGGACACAAAATACGGCCCAAAATAGTCAAATGTTCAATGACACTTCCAGGGACTGGCCTGCTTTCTGACAGTGCAGCAGTAATTGTTACACCAGTGAGCAAAGGGTCTGAATCTCACTGTATTATGCACATTACAAGCTCCAAAAATTGGCTGGAATTTCCTAAGGAACCCAGGCACAATCAGCTCATGGCTGTGCTGATCTCTGCCGCTCTTGTGGGACACAGCCTGGATTTTCCCTAGGGCAGTACAGTTAGATTTGTTGTACAACTTCCTCTTAAATTAAGGGAGAAAATGAATAAACATGTAAACCTGTTCAGCCACGTAATATATTCACAAATCAAGGCTAAAACAGTAGTTAGGCAAAGATGGTGTTGAGTCTAGCACACCAGAAAACAAAGTTCTCTTTCTCCTCTGTTCTTCCAGTGGGGTTTCCTGTCTCCTCACTGCCATGAACAGGCTGAACTTGTCTTGTGGGGTGCTCCAAAAATACATATTAAGCCTTCATGGTAACACAAGGTTTCTTGGATACCATCTATTTCAAAACAGTAATTTTACACTCTCTTGAGCTTTCTGCTAGTTAAAGCTTCCAGAATAACAAATCCCTGATTCTGCACCACTCTGCTTTCCCCAAAGCAGGTCCAGCATGGGCAGGAGTGGCTGAAGATCCCCACAAGTGCTGCTTTGCTGATAAATCCTAGCCCTGACCCATTCTTGGCAGTGCGTCTGAAAGGTTAGTTTTTGTTTTATTTCTGGCTTCTGCATCATAGTTGTTCAAATTTTGAGTCTGACTTAGGAAATCTAGGTAATTTTATTCATCCTGATGTTGGATTTTTGATAATTATACTACAACATGGTACATATACATGAGCACTGCTATATATGTAGCTCAAGAATGCAGTTTTGAATGATATAAAAAATTGTGTAATATATTTACACTTCTTAAGACTATTTAAAGGAGCATAAATAAAGGCAGTGTATCTGCCCCTAAAACCCCAGATATCAGTGGTGGTTGCCTCTGTAAGGCCAAGGCATTAATATACACCTGCCAAATTCAGACCCGCACCCTTCTCAGACACAGGGAAAAAATTACAATTGAAGTGAAGGAATAAGAACTCCAGAGATATTTCAAAGCAAGCCAATAAATGGGAAAAGCCTGAAACTGACACTCACCAATAACAAGATTCTTAAAGCCTCAAATTCAATAAACCCACAAACCAAAAGAAATTAAGCAGGCTGTGTCACTTCAGGACATCATGCTATGGGATTTTAACAAGATTCATGGGTATTAAAAAGTAATGGCATAAATTGGGTATTTAAAGTCAGTATTGATTTGTTGCCAGATTCTGCATATCAACAATTGCACTTGAGTGTCCATTTACTTTGCTCAGAAATAAATATTCCTGCCCAGCTGCATGTGCTAGTTGGAAGAGAATCAGTTTTCACCACTGGCAAAGGGACAGGTTGTTATCTCAAGCCACATGGTTCATTGATTTAGCTGTGGTGGAGTAAATACAAAAATGTATAGGAATGCTGTCAAAATAATTTATTTAAAAGCTTTTTTTGGAAGAAGAATGATAGCACATTCCCAGGTAAGAATGCAAAAGGCTTTCTGAGTATTTGGACTTATTAACTGGTTGAGGTAAATTATCTCCATTTGATGTTTCTGGCTGGCAGAGTTAATTTATTTGTACAAAAGTATTTAATGATGCAGGGAGATTGTTATTGGTGGTTTAATTATTGTTTTGATCAGAGCTTCTGTATGGGTGGTAGTACTCCTAATAAGATAATCATACTTTTTCATCTGTTAATGAGTCTTTGGAGTATTCCCAACACAGTTTTAAGTCTTAGTTGTTTTCCCGCTCTTGGCTTAATTTCTGTGTTTCATTTGGCTTGCATAATGAAACAAGATGGGCTGCTTTACTGCTCTTTATAATAGGTCTTCCTAATATGGTTTTCTGTGCTTAGGCTGATCAGGATTTTCCAAAACTACATAAATGTTTTTAATCTGGGGGGAAAAAAATCACTTTGCCTGTAAATTGAAAGCAGTAAATTGGGTTTTTGTTCTCAGGTAAATGATAATATTGTTCTTGCACAATCTCCTAGTAGTATCTGAATTTTATCACTAAAAAGCATGTTGTCTGCCTCTCTTTCCCATCTATATCACTTTAAACCCCCCTAAAGAATTCCCTGTATCTCTTCCTGCAAATACTTACTAAGCACTTGATGAGATCATAGTGAAATACAGTGGAAATATTGACAATATGGGCAGTATTTGAAAATTACCAGTGGGAAGGGCATGGCCTGACTGAAGTCCAGGGTACTTCAGCGATGTTGATGTAAACCATCTTTACAGAGGTTAATTTTAATTGTATGAGAACCTGGGAAGTGGGTAGGAATGTTAAGAGGACAGCCATAAAAGAGCACAGTTAATATCATGTCAACAGAGGAGCTTTGTTTTTCTCTAAAGGTGACTATTCTAGTTGTCATAGTATCTTCTTTATGGAGCATTCCTATACTCAGCTTTTCTCAGTTGTGTGACTACAACTTTCCCTCTGTTTCATTTTTATTCTGAATTTCCTGGGCTTGGCTCTCCTTGTTTTGCAGCCCACCTTGGTTCTGTTGCAGTAATGTGCCCACAGGGACAGTCCACACTGCAGAGATATAAAACCATGGGCACATGAAAAAGCAAGTGGTGCCTAAATGTTCATGTGTTCTGCCTGCCACA